TGCGCGTGTGCGTGCGCGTGTGCGTGTGCACGTGCGCGCGGCGTGCGCGTGTGCGTGTGTGTGCGAGTGTGCGTGCTCGTGCGCGTGCGTGCGTGCGGGCTGGCGGGGGTGCCCATGTGCAGGTGTGCGGGTGTGCGGGGGTGCGCGGGTGCGTGTGCGTGCGCGTGCGTGCGCGCATGTGTTGTGCAATACTCGCTACAAAAAAGAGCACTGCTTGCACCATGGCTGTCCTCCAGGTCCTTGCTGGCCTCCACCAATTCCTGCGCCATCCTTGCTTCCATACAAGCAAGGTTTGTGGCTTTGCCGGGCAGAGACCGGGAGGAGCCAATCCATCGCTTGCTTTTTGACGTGGAGGGGAAGCCTTTGAGCTTCTTTGCGAGTGCGTGTACGTAAACTGCTGCAGACTATAGGCACTGACGGCCCAAAGACATGGTCAGTTGGGGGATTCATGCGTAAGTGGAGGCCAGTCGACATGTTGCCAACTCTGAGATGACTCAGAAGCACTCAACATAATCCCCAACGTTTTGCTGACGCAGTGGCAAGGCGCCAACGCAACCAAGGCTCCGCTTCTCCTTCACTGTGGCGCTCTCTGCCTTCAGCTCGGCGCGCTCCACCCGCAAACGTAGGTTCTGATCGCACGACATACTCGAGCGTTTCTGCGACTCTGGAGTCTGCAGGCCCTTCTAGCGCAGGACAAAAATGTGAAACAGTCAACGACGTCCTCTAGCTCTTCCTTCTTGTTCTCCAGCTCCCTTTCAAGGTCCACGATTCGATCCTGTTCGAAGCCACGACACGCGGCCCCCCAACACAAGTGCAAGACGACCGGCTCATATCGCGCGGTTGCCACTGTTTCGGTTTGAGTCGGCGGAGCATAATGCATGGTCGACGGATGCACAAGAACGCGCGAGAAACTAGAACATGAGGTATAGACCTGACGGCTAGAAGTCCTTGGCAACAGCGGCATCCTTGAAGAATGTCCAGCCAACCTCCACAACAGCTAAGGCTAAGCTCCATCGAGAACGGTGCAGCAGGTCTCTTCCCAGCAACCTTGCCTAGCTTCGCTACGCCCGGCTCCAAACATATCATTTTGTTGACGACAGCTGCATGGCCTCGACCATGCCACCCCATTTTGATGTCCTTCTGGTAACCGTGTTCTGGTCTACCCTTGGCTTCAAGAAGCCGCCGATACATGTCATGCATTCTCTGGACCATCTAGCCAGCGGACTTGATATGTTGAGTTTAAGTGGGCACATCACACCGACGACCTCTGATCCTTGATTCTGAATCTGGTGTATCTCGATGAGTCGATGAGTGAGAACAGGAGTGTGGAGGTCGCCCTCAGTCCTCATAGAGCCTGGAGCCATCAATCGCGCACCTTGTTTTTTCGCTGTTTCCCTTTTTCCTCTTTTCCCCTTCAGCACTAGTTAACACCATTCACCAAAGCCGCACTGAAGCAAATCTCCCAGTCTCATGCACCTTGAGTGACAATGAGCGGCGATGGTGTGTTCTGAAAGGCCGCTCAAAACACAGAAGCGATAGTGGCTGACAGTGCAGCTTACAATCATCGATTGCCTCGCATGTGTTGCTACCATCGTGTTACCGAGTGTTCTTGTTTGAGCTAGAGGCCAGGCAAACCGGGCACTGGAAAGGTTCTGTACACTGTACTCGGCCACGACCCGTGGTTTGCGTAGGAAACGCCAGGAGGAGACTGAGGCTTTCAGCTAGTCTCGATCCTGACTTAAACTTCTGCATTCGCGGCACCGATGACCAGCGAAGAGTTCGCACACGCTCTTGCCCGCACTTGCACCGACAGCGGTTTCGCTCATTCAAAGGGGCTCCTTACCAAGTCTGCGCCGGGCATCTCTAGAAGCTTTCGCTAGTCGGGCCGATTGAAAAACTCTTGGAAGTCACGGGCCAAACTGGGTCGTAGTTTTAAGCCCCCCAGCACTATTATTTCCAAATTGGCACCTTTGGACCCTAAGGGAAATGTTGAAGTTTCGCATTTCATGACTGCATACGTCAGTGCAGGCAAAAAGACATGCATGAAGGCCACTGCGCATGACGACCATCTGCAATGCACACGTTGCTTCCTAAGCTTGTCGGCTCAAGTAATCTACATTGGTCTAGGATGGTCGCGACGCCAGCCCACTCATAAAACTCCTCCAAATCGACAGATCCGAATCTGTCCCGACTGCAGTAGCGGGGAAGACCTAACGAGTTGGAGCTTCCCTGCTACGCAAAATCATTGGATCAACATGTTGGCTTCGAACTGATGATGAATGATGCAGTGGATGGCTCCAGGCTGTCTTTGTAGTGCTGCAAAGCTTTACCCCCAGCCAGCCAGTTCTTTTCGCACGATCTGGCACAAAGAGAGAGCTGAGCGAAGTCAACGTGTAGGATCATGTGAAGTCCTTTTTTCAAGACTTAGTTAGGATCGCAGAACATGGTCACCCGATGTCCCAAAATTGCGGGAAAAGTTGGAGACCACTCCTAAATCAGCCTTCAAACGGTGGCCGATTTGAGAGCGGATTTCGTAGGTCTAGGTCGCGAAACAATCTCCGGCCTCAGCAACAAACGCTGCAATTTCCGGGAATGGCGATTGCAGCGAAGCCGCGGCCACCCGTGGTGGAAGCTCCGCACCGTACCTTTCAGGAAGGCGAGGAGGACCCTATAAACCCCAGGAAGGAGCATGGCAAGAAAGCGAGTTGGAGGGGTTTTGCACGAGGTGCTCGTAAAGCAGTTTGGCCATCTCCAGGTTACCGCTCTCCGTCGCCATCTGAATGGGGACGCCAAAGCTCAGCAGTGGCTCTCCTGCGAAGCTCGTGCACGGAGCTCAGAGCTTCAGCTGCTGAAAACGCATAGTTCGAAGTATGAAAGGAATGTAGAAGGCACCCCGAGAACGTGGCATCAGTGCCGCCAGCAAGTTTGAGCCTGACCAGCCTAAATCTTCCCTGGCCGCTACGGTAGGTAGCTACCGGCTGCCAGCACCTGAAGCTGAGACTTCGTGCCTGCAACGGGTCCAATGTGCTCCGACTTCCCCACTTCTGTTTTCCGATGCTTCAGCACAGAGTCCCACAGCCTGCAGCTTGGGCCACTAGGTTGGCAAGACACTATAATTAACAGTTCCTATAACACATGCAGTCACATGCACATCCTTCAAGAGAGTCCCCCAATTAAAGAACATGCTGCGGGGGTGTAGGTGCAGGCCTCGTGGGAGTGCCAGCATAGTTAGGGTCGGCGCCGGCTCTCAGAAGATTCTCGGCATGGCACACATAGCCTAGTGCTGGATCGCAGTTGGAGATAGCACTCTCACAGATGAGCACCGGTTAGACCTGTGTAATCGTATACTTAGACCATCTACTGCATGGAACAAATGCACCCTCAAACTTCCTGGGGGGCCTGAGGCCGTAGGCGGCCAAAGCCGATTGCCGGGCGGCTGGTGTGAAGCGAGCTGAGTGCCAGAACACTGTGTCCATAACTCCCGACCTGGTTCGGGTCTGCATCAAATTCCAGCAGCTTTTCAGTAACTTTCGAATTGTGGGTGGCCACTCCGTTGATGATGGGAGTGTCACCCTTGGAGTTCGGTTTGTGGACGAGCTCAGGCGCTGCCGCTGCGAGGTCAGCGATGACGGCATGGTTTCCGTAGGCCGCTGCCTGGTTTATGGCCGTGTAGCACAAGGTGCCACAGCAAACATCCAGAGCAGCTTTTGCTTGCAGGAGGCACTGCACCACCTGCCAGGGCGAATCACCGAGAAGTCTACTTCAGAATCACAGTTTAGGCCAGAACAATCCAAGCACAGCTGTGTGCGTGTTGCAAATTTTTGGGTGCAGCAGCCTTTGATGACGAAAGGGCCGCGGCGACAGTAAGGGCAGTCTGCCTTCCGCCAAGCTGGATGTCCCGTATCGATACTTCGACCTTTTCGTTCACTTCAGCTTTGGAGCTCAATAGCTCTTTCACGAGGGGTATGCATCCCTCTATGCAGGCCATCATAAGCGGAGTGAGTCCATCAGCCTTTTGGTCCGGGGCATTGAAGCGGTAGCGCGCAAGGAAGGACTGGAGAGGTTGATGCGGAATGTTGCGCTCCTGCTCGAGGGCCGCCAAGTGGCAAGCCGGGCAGCCCCGCTCAGGAAGCAGCCTGCGAAGGAGACACGAAATGCCCGACTCTCGCTGATCCATCCCCGTCACCACCTCTTGATGTGCTTCGAGCCACTAATGCAGAGTTGACATGGTGGGCTGAGCTCCTTTGCCTGCTATGCTTGATCAAACTGAGCTCCCGGTCTCGTTGAGGGCCCTCACTGGGGGTCTGTATGAACATCCAACTGGCTGACGAGAAAACTATGGCCCCATCCATGACTATTACCCATGGATGTCCCCATCCCACGAACTTTCAACTTTCGCCTTTGCCCGCGCTTCCTAGACTAGATGGCTACTCAGCTCTGATCGCTTGCCTTGGTCTTCGCCCACTTGGTTGAGGCACTTGCCCTTCCTCTTTCACTATTGTGGCCACGGCCATGCACTTCCAGTGTCTTGCAGTCCTATTCCCTTTCTGTTCGTCTAATTTTTCATCTGCTTCTTCTTCTTCTGCTTCTTTTCTTTCTCCTGAGCTCAAGGTTCAGGCCCTTTTTTGCAGGCCGAAGAAACGGGATGAGGCGTGACCCAGGCTCTAACCCCGTCTTCATTCGCGGGCTATCAGGTCCGACTACAGAAGCCTTGCAACGGCTTGCAAGGAGAAGAAATCCGACTGCTTTTCTGCATCAATGGACCATGCTCCCAATTTGTACGCCCAGGCCTATGCGCCTAGTGGGTCTGATATGCTCTGACACTCGACTGCTGAGTAAACACGTGAAGTTGCAAACCGTATGAACATGTCGCAAGGCCGTGGTCGTGGTCGTGCTGTCCGCTAGGCATTGTGCTGCTTTGTCGGTTGCCCGACGTTGCCAATGTCGTCGTTGTCCAGCTGTGTCAAGATGTGCCCCGCTCGCAACGGTTCCTGGTCCATGGGTGAAGGGTATGCCGTTCCACCTGTCGTTGGCCACTCTTTCGATTCCTGGCTGATAACTTCGACTCCACTCATGGCCACACGGCGAGCGCAGCGAGCGCCTTGCCACAGAGTTGACAGGCAGTGCCCTCCATGAAGCCGCGGATTTCACGAAGAGCTGCAATGGCCTCCTCCAATCCGTGCCTGTCCCCCGGCCATGAGCTCTGAGCCGCGATCTGCAGCTCATGCCCGCGGCTGTTACACCCTTCGCTCTCGCTCTTCTTCCTTCGGGTTAGAGGAGCGCGTCAAGCTCCCCGGCCCATGGGGCCCCCCAGCGTTCCGGGGCTTTCGAGGAGAGTCTACACGGCGAGAGCGCTCTCTCTCGCTCTCTCTCTCTCTCTCTCTCTCTCTCTTTCGCCAGGGCTACGGACGAGGGTTGCCCCCCGCCTTGCTTGCTTGCACGCCGTTTGAGGAGCAGGGTTGCCCCCCGCCTCTCTCTCTCTCTCTCTCTCTTGCTTGCTTGCTTGCTTGCTGGGGGTATGGGAGGAGAACTTCTCTGGCCGGTGGGCCTACCCCACTACTTGGCCCGCATCAGTACGTTAACAAGGCCCCTTCCGGGGTTGGGAGTGTTCCTGTTCCCCTGTATGAGCCTGTTGTACCCATCCCCCCGAAAACACCCCTCCTAAGACCGTGACCATATAAACCTTGCAGGCAGCATGCAGGTCATCCAGGGCTCCCCGAAGACAACTACTAGCGGGCTGTTCATTTCAGCTTTCGTAAAGACACCACTTGACTGCAAAGTACTAGGACGCGACTACGGCTAGTGCCAGGACACAACTGCATCTAAACAGGACTTAGCTATGCTTCCCGCTCGTCACTCGGCTGTGGGAGCTCCACTCCATCAGCACTGACAAACCTCTAACCCGACCTCACCTGCCTCCCCACCTGAGCCCCCCGAACGGAACCTTGCGCAGCACTGCCTGGCCTGCCCACCCCGCCCTGAAGCCTGTCGCACACTGTCCCCGTCTCTGTTGCAAGGGTTCAAACAAAGTCGTGGCAAGGCAAAACTAGACCGACACACAGCTGAGTTAGTGGCGACCCCTGCTTACGGTTTGACAGGTGCTTGTAGTAATGTTCTTCTTGCTTCCAGCTCCCCGACTTTCCTGCACCAAAATGACGTCTTAAACAATACAGTACCCCCAAACAACCGAGGTCAATCGTCATTGTCAGTCAAACTCCCCCTGCGACACGAAATAGGTCGCCGACACTGCACGGGACCGTTCGTGACTATGTCCCCGTCCCGGATGCGCTCGATGTAGCACGGATGCCGATGTCCCCCCTCACGCTGATGGCAGAGGCGGGAGGCACTGAGAAGCAGGCATGCCCCCGGGTTTAAGGCCGGCTATCCTCAAAGCAAGAAAGAAAGGAAGAGAGAGAGCCCGCCCCCAGGCGGAGGGGGAACAGCTGGGTCTTGAGCACTCACGGCCTTGAGCCAAAATGGCTACGGGCTCTCTATCTCTCTCTCTCTCTCTACCGGGGCAGAAGAGGCAGGCGGCAACCCATCCCTTCGTGCGCGCACACGCACCGCGCACCCCTCTTTCTTTCGCCAGGGTTAGGGGCCAAGGGGATACCCCCTTAGCCCGCGCACTGTCGCGCCCCCGACCGTTTTGGAGGGGCGTTGAAAGACAAAGCTGCACGACCAAGGCAAATCGGCTCGATAACTGTTCAGTCACGCGCTCAATAACTAAATATAAGCAAACATCAAACCGAAGGAATAATGGCCGTCAAGCAAGGTTTTACCCCATCATGTCTCGGTGTTGAGCAATCGATTTGTGGAAACACCACGCTGAAACACATAAAGCATGAAAGAATCACATGATTGCTCAAGGGTTACGGTCAGCCTCTGCGCGGGAGTTTCCCCGGATGAGCACCATTGTGCAGCTGCTGGACATGTTGTCGAGTCTAGCTGACTGTGGCCAGACTTTGCACGTGTTCAGTCTTGATTACTTTTCCCAAGGTCTGAGGTGACGAAGACCAGACGTTAAAGGCAACGAGAAACTGAACACTCTCTCTCTCTTGTTTGCTTGCTTGCTTGGGGTATGGGGACAGGGTCCCCTGGCCCGAAGGCCTGTTCGCTCTCTCCCTCCCTCTGTCTCTCTCTCTCTCTCTCTCTCTCTTCTTCGCCAGGGCATGGGAGGCGGTTTAAGCCCCCCGGCCACTAGGGCCCCCCACATGTTATGGGGCTTTGAGGAGGCGTGAGAAAACAAGGTTGATGTGTTCCCCCTCTCTCTCTCTCTCTCTCTCTCTCTCTCTCTCTCTCGCTCGCGCTCAAAAGTAGCCTCTCTCACTCGGCCTCAGGCCTTTCTCAACAAAGGCCTCGCCGCCGCTCAGAAACAACACAGATGAAATCATCAGGAGGGGGGACATCTGCCAAACACGTCTGCGGCCACCACGATCACAGATTGGGTTGCAAGGCCCTCGACAGCACACGAACACGCGAACCGAAAAGCGCGAGTGTGCAGTGAGCCAGCAGAGCAACAGCACATCACTTCATGTGTTGTTCTTCGTCCCGAGCGCAAGCGAAGTGAACGCGCTATGTTGAAAACTGGGGCCTGAAGAGCAAAGCTCTGTAAAATCGCCACTGGGAGAGATCGCCTGCTCGCAGGACCTCAGCTTCACGTTGACTAACAGGTCGACAAAACCTATTCCGCAACCAAAAGGCACGACGAACCAAACTGGAAACTTCAATTCCACCGCATCACAGTCTGGCCCAGGGGCGCTCTCACTTTTTAGGGCCAGGAGTTTCTTCGTAAGCTCCCTGACCTGCAAGGCGACAAGCGTGATCTCTCTGATCTCTCCCTCTGAGTCAATCCGGCTTTCACGAACGTACAATAGAAACGAGTCGAGTCAAAGACTGACACCTTGCCAGGATGCTGTCTTTCTATCTCCTTCAACGGTAAATTCTCCATCATGTGGCCAACTTCCGATCCACGCTGCTCCGCTCGAGGCGAAGATCGTACGCGGAGTGGTCACCACCAGCAAAGGCATCTCCTTGTCCTTACTTCATGAGCGATGCACGCATTCAGCCTAAAAGTCGATGCAACTTGGGAGTTACGCCGGATGCAGCGAGCTGCTGAGAGCGCAGCCGCAGTCCTTTCCGCCCTGCACACAACCGCACACAATGTTTCTTGAACTAGTGCACGCAAACTAAAAGCAAAGGCCTGCACCAACCCCGCGTCTCCCAACTGCCGAAACCTGGCATTGAAGAATCAGAAAGCAAGCAAGAATCAGCCCCAGTCTGACGCAGGCGGATTTACTCACTGAGACAAGCCACTTATCGTCTTGCCCGTGTCTGCGTGTCGCAGGCTAGGCGCCAGGATGACGATGATGTCCGATGCGTGACAGTACGCAGGAATGCTGTCAACTGCAGCTTGAAGCTCAGGTGTGTTTGAGACACAGCCTCGATCATCTATCTGAGGGATGCCAAAGAAATCGTACCAGATGTCCCATTCGAGGCAGTTTAGCTGCTCCTGTGTGCTGGGAATTGGGACGTCAACACCGCGAGACCTTAGGAAGCGAAGATGCCGCGACTTGGAGTCTGACCAAGCGCTGGTGGAACTAATCTTGTGAAATGAAACTGCCATGGAGGCCAAGGGCTGCGCAACCATGTCCTTGCCAATGCTGACTCGACCAGCAGCAAGGTTGCGAAGAAGGCTCTGCAGAACTTGGAACTGCTCCATGTTAGGATCTGGATGTCGGAAGCCAGCCCACCTGAGCAAGTGTGACTTTGGGCAGGCACTCGGCACAAAAAACAAATCAAACTCTCCAGGCCGCTGATGAGAAATCAACACCACCGTTTTGGTGTGCCCTGGCCGCCATTGCACCAGTAAGTTCTTTTTCATCATTTCGTCGTGGGGTAGGAGCGGCCCTTGAAGATCCACAAGAACCTTGCCAGGAAAAAAAAAGCTTGGGAACATGCTAGGACGTGCTAAACTGCAACGCCTCCAAGATCCGGCAAAGTAAAGTACTTGCAGCCTCGTGGCTTTTGCTGGAATTAGCCACATCGGGTAGGTCATTGCAATCTCCTTGCTGAGGCCCATCGCATTGCTTAGGTGCAACTCCTTTGTAGACCTGCAGTCTTGGCTTGCTCTCAGCTTCTTCGCTGGAGGGCCAAGTTGGATCACGGTGGTCTCGACTTTTCTGTCACTAACCGGAAACGACATACATAAAGCATGCTCAAGTCAGCTGAAGCTGCTTGGGCAAGGTATGTGGGGAAGGAAAGCTTGCAGCATAGCTGTCGAGCGTTGAAGCACAATTTCCCATGGTGTCGAACCCGAACTGCACAAGCACAAGACGGAAGATCTTTAGCATCGACTGGAGGAAGCCCGATGCAGCGAGGCTAAGCATCTAGCTAGTTGGGGACGGCACATACCAAGCAGACATGTAAAGCAGATTGCAGTTCGGAATGCTGGGTCAGTGTCTCGAGCCAAAGTGTCCCACAGCCGATCAGATTCGCACACGGATGGTATCACTTGGACTATGTTGACCTCACATTAACTCAAGAAGGCCAGAAACCCCTCTGACTCTGTGTTCGAAGACTTCAATCGTTCGAGGCGCAGCAATTCAACAACCGCAAACAGCCGACTCTAGGGCTCCGATGGGCTCCGGGGTCATCTTTTTTGCAGGGTAGTTGGGATGGGGGAGTTTTTCTCTTATGACGTGACCTGACCCCGCACTCCAAGTGGCGGCAGCGTCTGCCCGCGAAACAAGGGCTTCTTCAACTCCTGCGAAAAGGTGCGACACGCTCAAGCGGAAGCCTCTACACTGGGTAGTCACGTCACTGGCAGCCGTGGCAGCCCAAACTTGTATTTGGTGCCTGAGGACACAGTGACCCTTCCCACCTCCGAGGAAGCTCCGAGGGCTTGAGCTTCCAGAGCCGCTTCCAGAGCCTCCACCTCTGCCTGAGGAGAACAGAGCAAACAAAATAAGTAAACCTACAACCCCCCCTCCCCCAAAACCCCCAATTTAATTTTTTCGAATGTGCCACTTCCGTTTCCTGGCCTGGTCCAACTCGTCGGCGCCTTCCTCGGCCTCTAGATCCTCGGCTGAGTGCGATACAAACTCGCCACGGCCCGTCTGTTGGTTCCATGATGCGTCCACTAGAGTATGAGCCTGTGCCGACGACTCTTACTGACAACGAATTACATCACCTGAGACCTACAATTTCTTTCACGGATCTGGAAACGCGTTGCGAGCTCTTCATGATGGTCGGAGGTTCTAGCTTTACTTCTGAACTTCCGCAGACGGGCTATTTATGGGCTGAGGCTCCAATGCCGGCACAGGCAAGCTAAGGGCAGTGACCACCATGGCATCATCTGCCATCGCATGGACTTTGCTGTGTTGCTTGTTGGTTCTGGTGAAAGCATCTTTCGCTCTCATGGCCGCAGCAAGCATTAAGACAGGATTCGTCTGGAGCCGTCTGTCATGCTATATAGTTGCACAGACCATGACATGACCCAGCACGGCCAAACAGTCGCACTGTTAAACCCAAAGGGGAATGCCAGAGTGTGTAATGGCTGCTGACACGTTCCCGTCGCTATCACTCAACACCTCTAGATGATGTTGCTATGTCGCTATATCATCATGCAAGGAATATGGAGACATCTTAGTGTTGTACCAGCGCCTAGGAATCACAGAGCCTGCCCATATTGTATCCTCAAAGCACCCGCCAGCAAGTGTTTCAAAGTTCATTGCTGCTAGTTGGTTGCATCGTACTGCATGTCTGGCACGCCACCAAACCCTCCGCTGGCCGTCTTCGGGTAGGAAGTGATCTGCTCCGCCTCCACGCCGCATAATCAGCTGTGAGGTTGGCGTGCAACTGCCCCTCTTCAAAGGCCCGAAGCATATGTAGGGTGCCTTGCGATTCCAGACCGTCACGCAGCCTTAGAAAGTCCACGTGCTGCTGAACTTCGGTAGAAAGGTCTCTCAGCCACATCAACGGCTTGGCGCGGACGCGGCCAACGAGACAAGTCGTTGGCAGATTCTTGCAGATTTGTGCAAGCGTGGGCTGATTGATGCTTCTTGTCGGGTCTACTGGCGAAGCGATGACGCTGGTCTTTTGAGGCTGGAACCTTTGCTGTCAATTCCAAAGATCGGCGCGTTTGCTGTCTCGATCAGCCTTCTGAGATCATCGGCGACGAGTTCATTCCTAAGGCTGCAGACAGGAGAGTTGTGTATGGTGGCTATATGCTGCAGGGACACTTAGCTACAGGACACTAGCTGGAGATTCACTCGAAGTCACTAATCCGTGCTCTGTAGTAGTGGGCCCCCCCCCCCCCCCCAGAATCATCGGGCCTCGGGATTAATCTGAGGGGGGGGCGGGGCGGGGAGCCAGCAGTCCACAGGCGGCACGCAGCAGCCAGCAGTCGCGGACATGTAGAAAGAAGTGGTATTGGCTTCTTAGTAGTAGTAGTAGTAGTAGAAGAAAATCATTTCTTGTAGCCCATAATTGTGGAGGAATTTATGAATCCAGAGGAAGCTGCTCCGGAGACCAGCCGTAATGGGTAGCTCAGGATGCAATGATTTTGGGCCTCCTTGCAGAAACGGATTGATACGGAATCAATGCTTCCTGGGACCAGGCCTCGATCTGAGTTTTCTGGCCAGGCTCGAAGACTGCAGCTCCAGCGCCACCAAAACCAAAAACTTCCGGCCCAAGCCAGGGGCCCCGAAAATAATTTCCTAGAATTGTGGAGCGACTTACCTAGTAAAGTAGTACGTTCTAGGCACTAAGCTTGTGCTTGCATTACAGTATTTAGTTCCAAGCCTCTACTAAGCCTCTATTTGCAGTCAAGCAGTCAGTTCTAAGCCTTTTACCAAGCTTCTAATTGCAGCAAAGTAGTAAGTTCCAAGCCTCTACTAAGCTTCTATTTGCATTAAAGTAGTAAGTTCTAAGCCTCGACTAAGCTTCTAATTGCAGTAAAGTAGTCAGTTCTAAGCCTTTTACCAAGCTTCTATTTGCAGTAAAGTAGTAAGTCCTATGCCGTTACTAAGCTACTAAGCTTCTAATTGCATTAAAGTGGTATGTCCTAAGCCTCTACTAAGCTTCTTTCTAATTGCAGTAAAGGAGTAAGTTCTAAGCCCCTAACTGAAGTAAAGTAGTAAATTTTGGGCTCCCAACTCCCATCGTCAACCCCACTGAATTTACTAATACGGAGCACGGATTAAATGCTTTGGCAAAACAAAATCTTGGAAGACTCCAAACTCTTCCTTCGATAGTCTACCCTGCACTCAATTGAACCCAAAATCTCCAGCCGTACCTGAGGCCAATGGTGCTTCCGACGCTTCACAGGTGCGAATATGAGAGGACCACACCAAGCACCAGGCTGTCTCATCAGGTCACGATACTCAGTGATGTCCTGCAAACCCACATAGTCCCACTCGAACATCAGCCTTTATTCTAAGAATAGCTCCTGGCCGACACAAATAACTCCAGTGATGCTGCCCTCGCTGCTCTGCTTCGCAGTAGCCTAGGGAAAGCTTTCTCCAGCGATGTGTGCTTGTCTGGTCATGGGTTCTTACTTTTCGGATGTTGACAAGCAGTTGGACTCTTAACCTGAAGACGTCCGACAACATCTGACAAGGCCGACATCGGACGGTAGCTACGTAGATACTTAGCCACTTGGCTACTTATTGCTACTAGCAACTAAATCAAGCAGATTGCTGTTTCCTGCAGTTTTCCTAGCATAGTGTACTTTGTCATCGGTATCGTTACGGCCTAGCAGACTCTCCGGACACTTGTGTGCCCCGGATGTGACTTTTCTCAAGCGCTCTCCCCGCCCGTTCTGAAGCTCGTTTTGTCCTTTAACCCTGGGAGTTGGGGATACTTCTGAGTTGAGGCCGTTTGTAGCACATGACATGTGGGGTGAACGCTGTGTCTGCACTGCCAAGGTTTGCTTGGTGTTGGCATGCGTGGCTTGATTCCTGCCTGTTCCGATGGTCACAGCATGTGCTCTGATACTGCGGTGCAGAGTTGGAAATTGCAACCCAAACCCAAACAGCTGGCCGGGGCCGCAGCGTTTAGAAGGACGAAGCGGCTCACGCCATCCTGGCATTGCTTCAGCAAAGAGACCAGCAGCACTCTTATAGAGAGATTTCGTCACAGCAACAAGAGGGACAGAAAGGTCAGTGGCGGGAGCCAGCCTCTGTTCTATATACCAGTACGTTTATCAAACTCGACATCGATTGCATCCATGACAAAACTGCCCAAAGCTTGCACAGTCTGCACAGCGCTGGTGTTCCGAGTCAGCACACGCAAATCAAAGATTGAGCATCAGCCTTGCCGCACAAGTGTATTGTCACATTCTCTGCCGACTCACCTGCAAAGCAACTGTCAACGAGATGCTTTGCTCAGCAGTCTGGGCGCGAACCGCTGCCTTCGAGCGCTTGTCGCAGAACTGTTCGAACCTCATCCTGGCTCTCCTCGGTCACAGTTCACTGCCAGACCGGCCTGACTGGGCTGCTTGCTGAAGGTTTCACGGTTTGTCCCACATTCTCTGGTGCCTCCGAGTCCCCTCCAACCCCCCACCCACACAGACACCCCTCCACGGCAGTCACAAAGGCGATGTGCCATGGCTTTCCTGGTTTTCTGAATTTCTCTCGCACAAGTCCGGCGAATGTTGAAGGTTGCGGACATGTGAGTCCCATGGCAATGAATCGATGCTCACGACGACTCCCTCGCAGCAGCTGCCCTGATCATGTGACATGCTCGGATCCATTCACAGCCCGGATGCTGCTACGAACGTCTCCACCATGTTTCTGCCAAGAGCCTGCGAAGGGGGTCAGGCTTGATTGACATTTCCTGTGTCCCTGCAAAGCTGCAAGGCTTGGCTGACTCTGCAACTCAAACGCCCTGGATGTAGTTTTGATTCTCGTAGCCCCTTGTAATTGGAGTGTCGTCGAAAAATCGCTCCGCATTTTGGAGCCGCGGCAGACTTCTGGTCAGTTACAATACATCATGCCCTCCAGCGTCGTAACTGCCGGGCCGGACAGCACAACCCGTCCGTTTCCTCGGACTTCGCACTTAACAACACCGCCTCGAGGTGATGCTTGAAATCCGATGACTTGGCCTGCGCTGTTTGCACCGTTCGAACCTCGGCCGAGCTTTTGCATCCAATATGGGCCCAGCATGCAGTGCGCCGATCCTGTTACGGGATCCTCTGGAATGCCAGCCCGTGGTCCAAAGAACCGGGATCGGAAGTCGACCACGCTCCCAGCAGCCGCTGCAGCAGCACGCTCAGCATCACTGCTTCCTTCGCAGCCCTGCGTCGTTACGCACACACCGCGGCACTCAAAGCAAGCGAGAGCACTTTGATCAGGCTTGATCCGATCGAAAGCGGTCGGCGACAGCTCGCAGAGGATGTCGAACTTCCCACGACCGATGGCAAGAACGTCAGATCCCGACAGCCCAAGCGCTTTGCCCAAGGCATCTGCGGTGGGCATCGAGCCATCAACCGAGGCATCTGCCATCTTCGGCATGTCTGCCGGGAAATCCATCTGTATCCAGCCCGTATCTGTCATGCTGCAGCTCAAAGTCCCAGAGGCTTTCGATTCAAAATCGATTCGTCGTCGCTTGGATGCACGGCCAGTGGTCCACAGCGCATGTGCTGCACCAAGCGTGGCCTTACACTGCAGCTTTGTTTGATGCTTCAGCTGTACATGCGTCCTAGCAAAGTCTATCACTCGGCGAAAGGCCTCAAGCAGATTTTCGCGGATGCTTGAGAGGAGACATCGGGCCAAGGCCGAAAAGCATGACTGCTAAGTCGGACTCCAAGGCTCATGACCGCAGAGATCAACTTCGCAAGTTGGGGTAAACCAGCGGATCGCAAAACGGTGCGCTTCCTGAAAAGGATACTGTCTTTGGAGCGCATGGCATAAGGTCCAGATTGCTTCAAAGAGAAGCCCGCGACTCAGCATGTGTAAGTCTGAGCATATGCACTCCCCAAAAAAACGTTGCGCTTTGGTTCCTCGTTTGACTCGGATTCGATGGAAAGCAGCTCCACGAAAGCAGTCTCAGCGAGGTTGTTCTCCATTGCCACCTGCATCAAACAATTCTACTTCTACCTGTGCCTGCACTTGACACATCGTGATACCCCTGATGATATTGTAGGCACTTCCGCGGCAAGAGAAACCTAGGCAACTTGCTTTCCACTCTTGCCCAGCCTTTTGCATCCATGATGCATCGCCGCCGCGATGCGAAAACACAACAGCTGCCGAATTCCCGGTGCACGGCACAGCCGCAAAAGCATCGCACCTGACGAACGCTCATGTCTCAATGTTTCATGTGCCTCCCATAAGCTCTCAATGGCTAAAGGGCCCAGTCCACCCAGATCGGATCTTCGAGGGCTCACACACCGGTTCGTGCAGAATTGAGGTTGACATGCTGCACGCACCAGCCACCTTAATCCAGTGTCGAGCCACTGGATCATGTGCTCGCCAGATGCCGTACGCACAATGTCCCGCACCTGCACGAAGTACGAAAGTTGCCGAAAGCTGCAGACAACCAACATCAACTCTTAGAGAGTTAGTCTAGCACCACAGTACCTACCTGGAGCTCGAACCACGGGTCAGCGCCGTGCCTGCCCGGTAGTGACATCGTGTGGTGAGAACCGACTATCTTGCGGCGGAGCTGCTGATTGTTTGTGCAGACGGCCAGCACGAGAAGATGGTAATGACGCCAGGGCGCACGACGGGGGAAAGCCCGACAAGCTGAAAGCCGGCGTTCCTCGGCAAATGTCAGCACTGCATACCTGTACAAGCCATGAAGACCGGCTTGGCCCTTTCACCTCAGAGTCTGCCCCGCTAAAGCCGCCACAACCGCAGTGCGCATCCCCATTTCTTGGAATTGCTGTTAAAGGCAGGCAAAGTGCACGTACAGAGACACCAAGCCTGCCTTGGCTATGAGAGCGCACGCTCGTGGTGGCGACGAGCCTGCAGAATACCCTACATCTGGCCACGACTCGGAGCAAAACAACTCCTCATGTCTCTCTCTCTCTCTCTCTCTCTCTCTCTCACGGACTCAGTATCTGTCAGCCGTGTCGTGCATGTCTAGCCTTCCTTTGTTTCGGATGTTGCATCTGCATGTACCTCTGGCCTGGAGCAGCATGCAAGGCCGCCACAGCCCGCAAATACTCTCGGAGCATTGCCGAGGCAACTCCTGCGCACAGGCGGCCAGGATGCCGAAAAGACTTGTAACACAGCGGTCAATGTCAGCAAAACCATGATGGCAATTCTCGACATGGGACAAGCATTCCAGTCGCTTCAACGTCGCGGACATGCTTGGGAATTTTCTTGGGACATAAGCAGCCCAGTGCACCGACTCCCGCCCTCATGCTCTGACCACTCTCCCATAGCCCGAGTGAGTAAAACCAGTTTTGGGGTTGGCACTGGGCTATGACGCAGTGCATTGGAAAACGTGTCGAGATGTCCTGGCCGAAGGCTGGAGCTAGGATCCTATGCCAACTCACCATCTGAAGCCAACTCACTCTGACTTTGAGCTGCCAGAAGGAGAGTGTGCCCGTCGCCGACTGCGACGCCCCGACCCGTTGTCTCGATTCTGCCCCCAGGGTTTGCTTTCGATTGTTGCAGGAAGCTGTGGCGGCACGCGATTCTGCTTTACAAAGCCTGCTCGGTTCTCGAGATTGCCAGTTGGATGGTGGCCGGCTCCGGTAGAAGGTCGCGCGCTGCCGGGCTGCCAGCTTGCGCTGAAGATCAAGCATTTAGACTCAGACTTACTCGGGCGTGTGGAAACACTAGACGAAGCAGAACTTGGACACAAAGTCGTGTCCGGAGCAGCGGGTAGCAATCTATCTGCTGCACGACGTCGGTTGTCGACAAGGCTTGGCCAGAATCGCTCGCTGTTCGAATCTCAAACTTCGAGAAGCAAGCATGCCAAGCGCAGGGACGGTCCTTTTCTCCGAAGATGCTTCTGGACCACCACGGAGTGAACACAAAGAAGCTCGCCTGCTGTGGCGAAACTTCAGACCATTAGCCGAAACCTTCTCTTGGCCGTTACTTGACCGGATAAGCAAACAAGGAGTGACTGTGTGTGTGCGTGTGCGACCTCTCTCTCGAAGCATCCAAACTGCAGCACCATTGGCAAGGTTTGTGGTGGCAGAGGCCCCGAATCGTTCGACTGATCTCTGCTGAGTCCCTGCTCGTCGTGCCAAGCTTTGAAGGACCGAACCGGACAGCTGGTGCCAATGGCCTCCAGGAACGTGCTTCTCCATTGATTCCTGAGTTTCTGACAGTGCAAGCAAAGGCTTGTGGCGAGAAGCAACAAAACGGAAGCAAAGATGGTGAGTTGTTGAGGTGAGGGCAGCAAGACAACTGTTCGAGGGAGCAAGACAGGCACACTTTCGTTCGAGCATAGTAAGATATCGAAAATAAGCTTCTTTACATGTCACAGGACAGTGCAAGTAGCACGGTGCCGAGTGACACCGGCTAGCAGTGCCAAGCCGAACCTCCTCAACTCAAGTTATCCTTGTCCTCCTCTTCCTTCATCCTTAGGTCAAGCCTCCCAACTCGATACTGCCGCAAGTAAGTACGGGAGTTTCTCGTTTCCAGGGCTTTGATGAGAGATAAGGGTGGTCTGTGCGACTGAGCAACACAATCAAGGCAGAATCAATGCACGTGAGCCAACACCCGCCAAGTTGCGTGTGTCAAAGAAGTTCCAGCTGCACAAGTTCCGCAAACGAAGCCAACCAAAGACCCATTGCTTTTCTCCTCAGCGCATCTTGAGAGTTCCAGTAGCACTTCCTGCTGTTCTGAGTCATGAACGCTCGAGGATCCTGAAAGCCTAAGTCCAGCCCCTCACCTTTCCAGCCCAGGCGCAAAAGCGCCCCAGAAGAAGTCCTCAGCTGCCAAGAAGACAAACTGGGAATCACAGCTTGGCTGCCGGGCCCGGCACATTGGCCACGCGCTGTCTCAGGGCGAGATTTTCTGGTGATGCCGCCTGTGGAGGTACGGATGAGGTTGTGCCGGACAACCGGCTCACGCTGCAGCGACAGAGGCTCCTTCCGCCGGTCCTTCCCTGCCTCGTCCGCTGGGTACGAAGCAGCCTCAAGGGAAGCGCAAGCTTCCAAGTCCTCGCACGAGCTGAAGGACCGTCGAAGGAGAGAAAGAGAACCCAAGATTGAAGGAGGATAAAGGCTTTTATAAAGAGGTTTAAGTCCGTTAGGCCTCTTTCCGAACCCGGCGAAAGGCCAGCGCAGTTGGCCATCGCGGCAGCGGCCCGAGCTGGCGGTCCATTGCGGGTTTGTTTTGCGAGATGAGCCGTGGGCCGAGTCCGCTGAGTTCTGCTTCCTTTCCGTAAGCCGAATTGAGGAGGCCGCTGGCTCCTCACGTTCCCTTCTAGATTCGTTGGATCTAGATCCTGATGTGCCGGTTGCTTCTCGGTGTGGCCGGGCCTCGTTTCAAATTAAGCCCATCTCCGCTTCTCTGCTGAACATGACGCAGCGACCAGTAAATGCCCCATGCAGCCGGGTGGGAATCCAAATCATGCCCAAGCTCTATACAACACAACCCAGCACAGCACGGCACATGGCACGGCATGGTACAGCTCAGTACAACACAAACACAAACACACACATACACACACACAGAGAGAGAGAGAGAGACACACACACACACACATCCATCCGAACTGGTGAAGACGGTGAAGACCCTCGGGCTTCTTCCAGACTCAAGCCTGCTGCCATTGTTTTGATCGAGAAGGCTCAGGAAGCCAGGGTTGCAAGGCCACGCCTTTGGAGCGTGCAATCTGTACAGACACGCCTCAAAAATCCCCGAGTGCTGCCACACAGCAACTTCTCATGGTTTTGGTGTGTACATGTGCGGCTGGCCTCAGGATTAGGACTTGAAACCGGCATGTGTGTTGCACACACGCCATGACATCCTGTTTTCTGCCGGTGCCAGAAGCTACAAACAAGCCAGAGTTAAAATAACACCGCACAGACAAGTTCAACCGGTCAACTCGGAACTCGTCCAAGTACCAGCAAGAAGCTGAAAACCGAGGTGCCTTCCTCACCCTCCCTTCCGGGGAATCTGCATTTTCGCTGCGAGCTTTGGCAGAAACAAATCACCAATTTCGTGTTGCCGCGTATAACAGAGCCAGTGACGTGGTCGTCACTCTGAAATCCGAAGCCGAGATCGCTTCTCGGGCGGCTCGTCCTCCTTGGAAGCCGCGTTCCTCAGCTGGAGAGAGGCTGTCCGGCTTGCTTTGGAGGCTTCAGAAGGGCAAATAGACAACGTCTGTTGTGGCAACGCATCCTGCTGTCGAGCGGCTCACCAAGTGAATCCGATTTTTTGGCCTGCTGTGTAGCGTTTTGGTTCCGTGGTACTGCGGGACTTCACCACCAGACCGAAGACTGAAGACGTCAAGCTTCCCTCAACAATGCCGGTACCAGCTGCCTCTGTGCTTTGGAGGCTGCGCACCTCTTCCGCTTGCATCTCCTCCAGAGTATGATGTCAAATTCGCTGACACGAAGGGTGAAGGCTGGCTGTGCGAAGGTGCAGGGAATGAACTGTTGCGCATGAGCATGGCGGTCCTTAAGAGCTTCTGGACTCAGGACAGATGCTCCAATGCCTCTCTTCTCTTCCTGAGTTCTTGAAATGGAACACTAGATCGAAGATACTCAAACCGTCAAGCACCAGGCCGGGACACGTACGGCTGAGACATCTGTAGCAAGAAATTCTGCGCAGCCTCGACTGCCACATCAATGGCCATGGCTACATGGCCCGGATCGAGGAAGTTCCGGATCCTGACATTGCGCAGGACACCACCGAATCACAACTAAGCTATAAGCACTGACAGGACGGACGACACTCTCAAAACGGCTTGACCCAACACCACGCTCGGCTGATTTGCATCTTGCCAAGCATCCAGTCAGGGATCTTGGATCGCTTGTCCCGCCGAGCATATCTTTGATCAGCAAAGATCATGACTCCGTAGTCTCCTCAGACGAGACCAGGGGCAAACATCTGCCAGGCAGGACATTGGCAAAGCCCGAATACGAGTAGATGAGACAAGGGGCGTTTGGAACGGATGACACGTCCAAGGCATTGAGAGGCTTGCCTCATGGCATCGAAGTTGAGGAATTCTGACTCCTCCAAGGGCTCACATGACTCGTGATCCTGGCTTTCCAAACTTCTCAGTGGATTCTCCCCATCGCTTCACACGGCTGGCCCTCCTGACTCCTCCGGCTACGCACCTGAATAACAAGAGCTTCCATCCTTGATGTCGTAGTGCTGTCGGAGAAATTCCAGCCTGCAGGCAATCACCGTCATTTTTACCGGTACAGGAGGCTGTGGACATGAATTATGGCGAAATCGTGCTGGTTGCCATGCAAGCCTCCTGCAGTATCCCAGGGATGTGTGCATGTACCATTTCCGCTATTGAGAATCTTCCCGAAGTTTCATGCGACACAGCTGCCTGGCCCGCAGTTCTCGCGACAACGTGTATTGAAACGGCACCTGGGTCTGCAGGCTATCCAGACTACAGATGGTCATATCCCGTCAAGCTTGTTGCCACAGTCGGGCCAGGTACTTACAGTACAAGCCAGGAGGCTCCAAACAGAACGACGCATCGTCCGTAGTGCCGATCAAAGTCAATACCCTCCGCCACCTGATCAGGCCGACGATTCCAGAGATGTGAAGAAGCAAACGAGCCTCTGGAAGCGTGGCCTTCCCGCGCGCAACGCTGAGAAAGACAGCTCCTTGCCCAGAGTCACAGGCCTTGCAGCAGTGCCGACATGCGGGCAATTCGAAAGTTTTGTCCACAACTCCGACACACTTCCGCTGGCTGTCACAACATGGCGCAAGTCGGAGAAGTTGTTTACGGGCTGCTGAACCTGGGCTCATCAATGACCTGTCGCTGGACTCGTAGTCTCCTGACAACCAAGTCCTGTGCTTTCCTGAACCGCTACTTCTGACAAGACTGTCCGTTCATATCGGCCGGAAAGCAACCCAGCATCTGCGACAGTCGGCGCCTGCCGATAGAGATTGAGAGCATACGTGGTGGCAACGACATCCTGAGTGCCACGGGACTGGCCGTTTAACATCGGCATCACCAGAAGTGAAGTGAAACATACACTGCGACACTCAGCAACGAAGGGACCAGTGCCTGGACAAGTGGACCGTAGCTTAAGAATCCCAAAGTCACCAAGATGAGTCCGGGGTCGACAGTCTCAATGAAAACCAGCTTGTGCTTCAACACCCGTGAGATCACGCCTCCACGGCCAGGACATGAGAAACTCCCCGTGGGCTTCCGGCTTAAGGGAACTGTTGACACCCCCTCAACAGCAAAAGGCAGCGGCGGACTAATTTGAAGGCTTCTCACACAATGGATCAAGGCATTTAGGGCCGTGAAAGGGGATTCGACACTGTCACGGCACGTCTGCGCTGCCCGAATCGCACATACTGAGCTTTCGGAGGGCCCTTCGAGTGAGCCTTCTTTGCTAGACTGCTAGACTTTTTTGCCTAGAGGTAGTTAGGATTGCCGGTCACATCTTTAAAGCCCATTTTCTACGAAGCTACTCAGACTCCACTCTGCCTACAGTAGCTGGGCGAAGGTCCAAAGTGCGAAACCAAACTAAACCCGCTCATCCCGCTTCATTAGTCCCAAGCAGGGACACTCCCGAATGAGGCCTTGGCGAAATGAACCCTAGAGCGGGGATAAATGGTGCCAAAATCTTCAAAACTCGAAACCGCGGCACTGCGCGTGCCTGTTTCATACCACTTCTCCAGAACTTGCTCCAGGTAGCGGTAAGACGTGAAGAAACACACCTCAGAACAGGTTTGGTTGCCAGAGCTTGATGCACAAAAACCGGGTGGCATATCTTGGCATTCTACTATCCTCCTGGCACCGGGCATCATCCCAATCGGTCACGAGTCACGAACTGGGCAAAACTGGCGCAAGTCTTGCCAAGATGCTACTCCATCGGGGACCGTCTTGACCAGCTCCTCTAGCAGGCTACCATAGGCCATCACGACACTGGGATCCTGCACAACGCAAGGGCATGAAACTGTTCTGTGGCTTCTGCGCAATCGACTCGCCCTTCTTAGCAGGTATCCTTATGCGAGATCAAGGCCCTGAACTGCTTTGGCATTCAGTCCTCTCGCATGCTGAATCGAGAGGAGATCGGCACCTCCATAGCGACTTCTATTCCGGGTTAATGAATTCCATTGCTTGGGCTCCCCTCTGTGTTCACCTTGCACTGAAAAAAGTTGGGTAGCCGCTGTGCCTGGTCCACACCGTGTGTCACAATCAGTGGGCACAGGCATTTCCTTTCCATGGTGATGGAAAAAGATTCAGTCGCCACCACGTTCGACATGCCGAGAATCCTGAGCAGCCGGGTGAGACCCGAGGGGCACTTGCGACATCCACAGCTCTCAGCCAGTAGTCTTCTGCATTCCTTTCGGTGCCCGGTACAAGGTGACCAAGAGGTGTCCGGCACGCAGGACTTGGATAAACACAGACACAAAGTGTGAGACGACAAATGCAAATCTAGCCGCTTTGGGTACATCTCCAGGGGAGAGATCGTACCGGACGTCAGCACCACCGACTGGTATCGCTTCAGGACGGGCCGGATAGCGATTGAAGCATCCAGGCAGCGAAGGATCAACGTAGGGTCGTAAATGCCTGGCCCATCGAATTGTGCAGAATTACATGGCTCTACATAGTTAACCCTCTTCAAAGCCAGCAAAGGACATCAGAAGAACTTCTACTCGGCTGGAGGAAAGCTCTCTTTCGCCATGCTTTGACTCGTCGCGAAGGGCCTTGAGCTTCGGGATATGGGTCGACAATGATGCTGAAGCCCTGGGAATATGTCCCAAGCAGGGTGACGAAGTCAGCCACTTTTGTGATAGGTGTGAACTCATCCAAGTTTGCCACTTGCAGCGTGTTGAGCCTCGGCATCGTGCCAACGAAGATACATCAAATTGCATGCTGATCATGGGAAAACATATTTCAACGAACATAAACACATTCAATCCGATCATACCACAAAACAGCAAAGCAGCAAAGATCTTAGGCGCTCGTGACAGAACTTCAAGGACTTGGAATCCACCTCCTGGGCACATGTGTCGGGCTGCATTTCTTCGGACCCGCGCATTGAGAGCTTGCAAAATGATCGAGAAAGTGCTGTGGAACAAGAAACCTGGCAATTTGATCCAGAAAAGGTCACCTTCCTCGTGGCGAATGCCAAGCCAAATTATGTACTAGCTCAACTCGCTTATAACTTCGCTGTCTCAAAGTGCCACAGTGAGTCGGCATCTTCCTCCATCTTGTGCGTCACCTCATGATCAGAAAATGCCAGCAGCGCAGCACTGCCACGGCGCGTCTCAAAGTGCGCAAGTGAGCGGCAGAGAGCGGGCCCTCGCACTGAGCACGGTCCACGTGAAGATAGCGCCGGAAGAAATTCACCAAACCTTAAAAACGAAGCCACCACCGTCACTCTCATGTTGACCTGTGGTTCCCCACTGTCCCAAAGCAAAATGCTGCGTGACGCGTCTTGCATAATAAATGATGGGCTTATTTGTTCTTGATTCATGAGCGTCACGTCGCAACAGTGCGATGAAGTGCTCCGCACGGCGGATATTCCTTGGTCTCGGAAGGTGCTAAGTTGCTTTGCCTGTAGACCAGAGGCTTCTCTGTAACCGAAGCCTGAACTGGGATCAGCTCAGTTGTGCCAAGCTTCCCTGGGATGGCTTCGCTAACCAAATCTTCAGGAAGGACTGGGCTCTGCAACTGGTCGGCCATCGCTTCGTCGATCCTCCGAAACGCAGAGAAAATCTTGCAACATCTGCAACTGTTTCGTTGCCGTAAACCCTTTTGAACTCGGCTGTCTGACAGCAGGCCAGTCACGACAGACTGATCAATCGAGCGACTGGCCAGCTTGTCTCAATCCCTGCACCAAGCGCTTGTACTCCTGCCAGGGGCCAAGGGCGACAAAAGCTGAGAGCCCACACACATCTCGAAGCCGGCTGCCTCCTGAAGACGAGAAGCATCCTCGCGCTTGACACGGTCGACCTCGTTGCCGAGCCTGCTTTTTACAGCCGTGCAATGAGAAGCGGATGGCACGGGCCCGACTCCGGGACCCTCTCGGCAAGTCCGAACCAAAGCTGCTTGATTACTGAAGCAACGAGGCAGCAACACGCACAGCTCTGCATTCAACTTGCGGAACCAAGCGCGAGTTTCTGCTACTTCCGGGCATGCCCTTGCCAGTGCGATTAATGGGTCGAATGCCCGTGCAAGCAAGAATGCCAGTTCAAGTCACATGCCATGCACCTCTGACCCCGCACAATGTTATGCCATGCTGAGGGGGGTCTTCGCGTTTGCTGAACATCTGCATGGCCGCTCCATGACATGTGAACGTTGCTTAGCAGCAGCTTCTCTTCCACTTCCGACTGAAAATTGGAAAGGGTGAGGTCTCTGAGACCCGCCCTAAACTGAGGGGGGTAAAGTCATGAACATGCAATACTTCGCCACTGGCAGCCATTGAGGCACACAAGCGAGCTACACCACAGCACACAGCTATGAATGTGATTCGCTGCTCGGCAGCAAAAGCTCGCCGTGCCTCGTAAGGTTGCCGAAGGATTGATCCAGCCTTTGTGGCCAACAAACGATGCATCTCGCGCTGATGATCGCAATACTGAGGCTCTTCGCTGGGAGTCGCTGCCCGTTCGGAAGCCCAAATCACAACACCATAGGCAAACTTGACCCCAAAAGATGCGGCCCGCGCCTCTGCCGATTCAACTTGACGCTGAGCGATTCAATGCAAACATCGTCAATGTTGTGGGCCTCCGAGCAGGGAGTAATACTCGTCTGTCATGACCAACACACCCCACGTCTCTCATAGGTCTGCTTTCAACTCTTGGCTTGAAACTACAGTCGTTGCTTTTTTCTGCACGATCGGCTGCGCAGCGATAGAGCCTATATAAACCAAGAATATACATCGAAAAACTTGCACAACTGCATGCACTTCTTGAGGTGCTCAGCAGCCGCGCTCACGACATCTCACGACTAAGGGCCGGAAAACGTTACGAGCAAAGCCGCCTGCCTGTGGATCGCAAGTGGGGCACCAGGAGCGGCACTTCCAATAACGGACATGCCGAGACCCCCAAGCGCTGGTGTACCACCAGCAGCCACCACGGATGCACCTTCTTTTGGGGCTATGCCTCTGCCACCTGCCAGTGCCAATGCCATTCTCGCTGGTCCTTGGCACTGGGATAACAAACGCTGCCAGGTGGCACTGGCCGGGGCCACGCGAAAGCACTGGCACATGCGCAGAGCTCCAGTCGGCATCAAACCTTCTGCGACGGGATCACCGCCGGCGAGCATTGCCGCACCCGACTTGGAAACGCCAACCCAATTGAAGAGTGACCAAGCCGCTGCCAGGTTGCCTGTTGGGTTAGTTGGGGTGCTTGTGGGCCGCGACAAGCCCAGGAGCATCTCTTTTGGCCCTCCGAGGTTGTTTTCTTCCATGACGCTTTTGAGAGCCTGCGCGGCCATGATTCCTACCCGCCGGGGAATTCCTGCAGTGCCTTTCTCGGTTTCAGTAACGTCTCGGTAATCCCCCTCCTGATCTGTGCCTATCTGCAGAAGAGCAGGAGGCTTTCCACGCTGCACATCTGCTTCGAATATTTCCAATTCTCCCCCTACCGGCACACAGCCGAGAAGATCAACCATGGCTGAGGCAGGGCCAGGCAGCAGAAGCCCTACAAATCCCGCCGGAATGGCTTTGCCATTAACCCAGACGGCTGGCCCTCCGGGCTGTTCTGGTGGAGCTGCCATCATCCCTGACTTCACAGATGCTGGCCACTTCTTGTCGACGGTCCCAAGTGTTCGTGCCAAGCCGGGTGCCGAGATAGCAGGATCCCCCAGCAAGAAAACAGAGCCAGGTGAACTACCCAGTTTCTGCAGATCCGCGTCTAGGGTATCAGGCGTCAAAGAAAAACCTTCCGCAACAAGACCAGGTTGCACATCCATAACACCCAGTTGCAAAGTCGGGCCGCCCGATGTGCATGCCACCACTGACACTGCCGCACCCAGGTTGGAGCCTATGTGCTGAAGAATGCCCGGCGCTCCGGTAGATAGCCTGCGTGGAATGAGAACAATGGCGAATCCAGGCCCTCTTGGCCCAACAGCTGCCAACACTTCATTTGCCGCCGCCTGTGCACCTGCCTGGGCAGACTCCGCAACACAAACCGCTTGCAGTCTTGTCTTTGAAAATCTCAAGCTTCGGACAGACCGGCTCACACTTCGAGGGCACGTCGACACCAAGCTGCACATGGCTAGCGCGCCAGCAGCATTTTGTACCCAATGCGTTTGCGAGCTCTGCTTGCTAACATCAGGGCAAGCAAAGACCGGTAAACTCCGAGCCGTTGTTGTGCGGCCTTCTCGTGGCCATAGCTGCTTGGAAGGCAGTGGCCGGGTGCCTTTGACGATCATGCCCACACCGCAACTACGCACACCACCTGGTTTGATCACACATCCTGCAGTGCTTGGCTCTTAAACCATGTAATGGGAAAGACAGCAGCAGACAAAGCGACATGAACACGGTGCATTTACGCTGAGTGGACTTCAGGCTTATCAGCTTCACTTGGGGAGCACAACCTTTTGAATCGCTCGGTGGTGCAGTCCGTGCCTTGCTTGGTCATCGTCGGAGTGCTCTGTCCGAAAAAACTGCATCTTCTGCCTATTGTCTCTGGATCAGCTTCGTTTGACAATGTGTCTGGGCAAGCGATCCACATGCCAAACAACGGTCTGGAAGTTGGCAAGACGAAGGGACGCCGTCGACAACCGGTCTGGGAGATCGGTGTTCAACACACTGCAGAGCCCAGAGCTTCTGCTTAGCCTCAGCAAGGCTCGAAGGTGGCCGTTCGAAGGTGTTGTGGTCATCCGAGTCGACTTGACCGCTTGGCATCATGTGCTGGTCAAGGCTTCAAGGGCTTTGTCCCAAGCTTCTCGTACAAGAGCATCTGACTCAGGCCAAGTTCGACCTCAGCCCCAAGCTTGGACAAGAACTTCGACATTATCCGTTTCTGATGCAAGCTACGGCCGGGGTAGGGACGATGGGGTGTTATTTAAGAGCTCACAGTTCGGGCCTTCTGCAGCCTTCAGCGCATTCAAAGCTTCCCGCCTCCCTTCGTTGGTCATCTTGCCTTGGCCCACGGATTACGAAGGAGAGTTTTAGACGAATCGCCAAGTTTTGCTGAGAACAACAGAGCTCAGGCTCTCTTGACATGGAATCAAGCACATGCTGCAGTTCTGGCAAGCTGCCCAACAGTGCAACTGCTGCTTCTCGAACGGTTGCGTCGCCATGGTCGATAAGTGGAGAGGCCAGTTCGCAAATCACAGCTTCGCGACCGTCTAGCAAGCTCTCAAGACACTTTAATGCCCCATGCACCACGTTGGAAGCGGGATCGTCGAGGCACGTGGACACGGCGTCGAACAGTGCATCCTGGTCGTGCTCAAGTTCAAGGTCTTTCAGGGATAGCAAAGCAGCCGAACGGACGTGGGCATCTTGGTGCTCCAACTGCCGTCGCAAGACTTCACAAACCTTTGCATCGAAGTGCGCGCACTGTCCCATGACCCCAATGGCTGTGGACTTGACCACCACGTCTTCGTCGGCCGCCAGTCGGAGAAGCATCTCTACCACATCGCACTGGCCACGCTCTGAACAATGCGGCAGAAGCTCTACGGCTAAGCAGCGAGTCGCCGGATATATGTCATTCTCGATGACATCCTAAGCGTTGCCAAAACGAGAAGCCCCACAGTGAACAACACACAAGTGAACAATGACATGGTACATCTGAGCATCTCCACTGCCTACAAAGATTACAAAGCCCATTCAGAAGGTGCGAAAGGTCCAGCCAGCATTCCTTACCTCTAAACCTATGTTTTGCTGCTCTGCTTGTCGAACAAAGCCACACTTTAAGAAAGAGTGGATTTCTTACTGCATGACAGGAGAGCAAGAAGAAAAAAACACCGGCCCTTATGAGCCAAATCCCCATCCCCTCTTTCGATGTTTATGCACAACTACCCGCCCGAGTGAACAACCAGAAAAGTTCGAAAGCCTTTTGCTGGCTCTGCACCCAGGGACGAGCACCAGGCTGACATCTTTGGCATTCAGTGACTCCTTCAAAACGGCGTGGCAGGAGGCCTGTGCTTTCGGCCTGCCTTGCCGGAGGCCCTTCAGCAAATCCTGAATGCGGTGCGGCACGAAGTCCGTCAGACAGGCTCAGCCGGCCATCGGTGCAACCGAGCTGCGCCGTGGAGACCATCAGGCAGGCCATACTTGGTGGCAAGTTTCAGCAGCGGGGGCTTGCACTGCTCATGCCCGGAAATCATCTTCTTGCAAAGAGCCTCCACAGACAAGGGCAGCTTTTGACTTCCACTCCAGCACATGCAGGTTCAAGCCTACGCGGCCTACGCATTTCTCACTGGCCTTAGCTGCCAGGTTCACGGCCTGTTGGGCTTCAGGGATGCCGGAGCTTGCAGCTGGTCCGACCACATCCAGGGCTGTCACAACCTCGGGCGCTTCGCGATCATCCCAACGGGGGCTTGGGTTTTATAAAGTTTTGTGAAGAGCGAGGCCGACAATGTGGGCAAGCAGTAGGCCCATTGGACGTTGAATCGGTCGAATCCGAGAGTAGAGGGTGCTACAACAAATTCGGACGGCAATGCAGTTCACCCAGGTCCGAAATCCTTTTCACAAGTCGAGATTGCGACAATCTAGCCAGGTTACTATCACAGGCCGGCTGGACAAATTTCAGTCAAGCAGCAGAGGCCGGCCACTCGCGGGCCAGAAAGCAGTGTGAGTTCTTCAGGTAGCCTTGGCTTGCGCTTGCTGTCCAGCCATGAGTCGGGAAGGGTTTTCCAAATAGAAGGAAGAGGCATCAATGCCAGATGACTCGGTCAGAGCGCAGACTGAATCTTGCAATGCTGACGAAATCCAGAATCCTAAACTTAGGAGCTTTGTCAAAGCCGGCACGTTCGTCGAAGCTCTGCGAGAAGCGACGTTACAGCAATGCTCGAGCGGCGAGGATGTGCATGAGAAACGAATCCAATGTTACCCAAGAAACTTGAGATCACGGAAATGACTTGGTCCTCGGAACCGGAACAAGCCGCAACTCGCTGAATGACCGCCTGCAGGTGAAGGGCATTCAATGCATCGCCGTCGACATTGGAGTACGTCGAAACTCGAAACAGAAACTTGCAAAACTCGTGAGATTGGTGTCGGCGGGGCATCCGAAGGAGAGGATAGAGGCTTCATGTTCAGGATGGTTCAGGCAGAAGACCCTCCCAGTCCTGGCAGTCTGCACCACCTCTCCGCTTGAGTTCAGCACGAAGTCCGCTCAGGATCTGACGCATGCAAAACTGTCACAAAGAACCCCTGCTATCTCAGCAGGCCCTGGCTACCTTTGTCGATGAACCGATCATCCTATCCCTGCATCTGCACAGGCCCGGAGTGCCTGTGCATGTGAGGAAGGCGAAAGCGATGCCAAATGATCGGACATCAGCAACAAGTGCTCTCCTGATCGCAGGGCTGCAACATCAAAACGACGGACGGTATACTCTTAGCATGGCAGCAGCTGGGAACAAGCACGCTATGGACAACGACAGTACTGACATGAAGATGAGGTAGGGGCTGTTGGCATTGCAAGCATTTTCTTCTGACAGGCTTGGATGGTCCCCCCGCCCCAATGTGGGTGGCAACCCCCGCGCGCATCCAGCGGCACCCCTCTCCCCCGGCGATGCTCTTGGCTAAATAGACCAGGGTTGACACTGGTGGCTTTGGGATTGTGCGCTCCCCCAACCTCCGCAGGCTGAGGTCTTTCGAGTAACAGAGGTCGACATGAGACTCTCGCAGTGCCTCTCATTGCCGCTCCCTGTCCACACACATTCCTCCAGCGTAAGGTGAAGCGAGAAGAACGCAGTTGCGCAACAGCATCGACAGAGATGAATACCAAGGTCTTACAGTCCCTAGCTCTTGCAAGCTCTGGCCTTGACGCGTTAACTGTTTCACTCTCACCGTCATGAGTCGAAGCTTTAATTGAAGATTCTGCTTTCTGCCCTCGGCACTCTTTTTTGGCGTTGCACACACATCGAAAGACTACTGGCCGAGAGACCTTCTGACGTACTCAGATCGTCCAGTAAAGCCTGGCAAAAACCAACACGGAGGGGACATCAGGAGACAGCATGAAAACGGGTGCATCATGCCTTGACCACTGCTTCGTCTTCGCGAGGCGCCACTCTCGCCAAGACGGCGGCTGCCCGGGCACGCTGGAAGGGTGCCTGTCGGGGACCCCGTGGCCCGGGACGCTCTACAGGACTCGCCGCCCGAGCCTGTGTCACTGCCAGCTCTTTCGCGAGCAACTCTATCACTACATCGCTGCGCTCGGCAACCTGCCAACCCATCGCAGGAAAGTCACGATCGACACACCATGACGCATCACATCCGATGATGCCGCATGTCACCTGTACTATAGGTTCCCCGCAACTAAATCAGACTCATGACTTGCAGAGTTGCACCAGCCTTTGCAAGGGCATCGCAGATCATTCCTTGCGCATCACGAACATCCGGATTTTTGACTACATGTCCAAGGAAGGTGTTGAGCTCCCTCACATCGCCAATGTCCTCTTCTTTCATGAATGAAATGAGGAGACCAGTCAGCTCAGCCGCATCCGCGTACTGCTCGACACGTTGGAAGTATGACCAGCCAATTTCACTCTCATCAGGGTCTGCAAAACACATGACTCCGACGAGCCAGGACAGAGTGTGTAGATGGTCCCCAGGCAAGTTTACAAGAACGTCCATGATCTCGACAGACGCAGGCCAAGGCTTCGGGCGGTGATGGGGTATGCAAGGCCCTAGCTGACCTCGCAATAATTCAGCAACTGTTGCATCTTGTTGGGCAAGATGCTTCAGTGAACCGCAAGCTGCACTTCGAATCGTTTGCTCCCAATGCTTTAGCTTGTCCACTAAAGCCGGCACGGCACGATCCAAACAGTTGCCCCCAAGAACAGCAAGGGCCTGCACAGCGTCAAGCACGTGCTCGTGGTCCGACGACAGGTTCGCAAACGCTGGTTCGACGTCTGTCAGCAACGACAGCTTCAGCTCACCACCGATTGAATACAAAGACAACGGGAACGCGTCCTCGAGATTCGGAGAAACCTCTTTGCCGGCCCAGGTCTTGTACAGCTCAATGGAGATCAACGCCCATTCACAAAGAATCTGGCTGGCCTTAGAGAATTTGGCTTGATGCCCAGGGGTGAAGGTGCCCCCCATGTCTTGGGCAATGCTCTCTGCCTGATGAATATGTCTCTCTTGCACTTTGGCCTGGACCACCTCTTCAGGAAATTCCTGCAAGCCACGGATAAAATCAAAGGTGTCACTGCACAGCAGTGGTTTCAGCACATCCCATCCAGGCCCGGGGTCCGACCGCGGATTAGCCCGTCGCCGCTGAAGATTCTTCACAGACGGGCATGATGCGATGAGACGGTAGACAACCGCAAAGCATTGGTACATTGGACGCGCGGGGCTGAAGATCGCTTTCATTTCGTACAGATCATGGACATCAAGCTGACTGAGAATCTCTGCGGCCCGCTTTTTCATGACCAACATAAGCTTCTCCCTGAAATCCTCGGGTGGAGGTGCTTGCAGGAGGAGCCGCTGACAGAGAAGAGGGACTTGGCACTTTTCGGTGAGCCTTGTTTTCAGCTCCGCAACTGTCTCCTCCACCCCTGCATCCAACTCTAGCTCCTGGCCACTAATTCTTTGGATGGAGACCTTTACGACCATCGGCACGTCCATGACCGCTCCCAGCAAGAGAAGGTGCGGGCTGTTCAAGCATGTACAAGTGAGTATGCCTTGCTCGTTACCACCAGGTGTTACCTGTAAGCTGCTCAGCTACTCACTGCTGCGAAGAAATCGCCTTGCCGATGCTAGCAGTTAACACCGTACACGCCACAGTAGCGCCTTGTTATCAAACATTGGGCGATGCGGCTCGAATTTCAGGAGTCTTGCAACTCAGGAGACCTGCAAAATGCAGCAAGCCCGGTCTGGTCTTTTTTCGGTCCGAATGCACAAGTGAGCACAGCTGCACGCTCCACACTGATCTTGCGGAGCGGTTCACCCCCTATCTACGCTCTTGTAAGGCTTCGCGGGTTCCTCAATTTCTTTCCGAAGGGAGAAGGTCAGCAAGAGACTTGGAATTATGAACACCACTCCGTACAGGACATACACGCCCATCTTCCATTTGGGCGCACCGGGAGCGGTAGGATCCAGAAACTGGTATATAATACTAAAGCAAGCGCCACCCAGTGCACCGCTGATTTGTGTCACAAGGTTCAAGGTAGACTGCAGCATTCCCTGCTGTTCGGCGCTGCTGGCCTTGCCAATGATTGCCACCAAGACTGCAGAACTCATGAGTGGTAGACCCCCGAACAATGCACTTTCGAGGTAGATGTGCCACGGCTTGGTAGCTAGCATGATGATTACGCTGGCCAATCCGACTGAAATGGTGCTAGTGGCGAGTACTCCCACTCGACCGAGAGCAGGCAGGAGCAAGTTGACCCCAATTGCCATCCAGGCTATGGCAGAAATTGCATCCAACAGCCCCCCAAGGTAGCTATCATGCCGGCTCCAGGCAAAATGCTGCTGCAGGAACCTGGCCAAGATGCAAAGCCACCCCGTGTAGTGAAAAGCATCTATCACACCAATAGCTGTCAACTTTTGGACCAATGGATTCTGCACGAGGGCATGGAAGGAGGTGGTGGGCACCAGCAGGGACCAAGAAAAGGGAATTCTTTGATCTGGTCGCAATGACTCCGGCAGGCAGAAAATTGCCAGGAAAAGATCGATAAGCTTCCCGAGCATACCCACCAGAAATGCCATCCTCATGCTCAGGACACTTCCCAACATGACCCCAAGCAGCCCGCTGAGGATGCATGTGCCTTCCACGAACGTGATTGCGCGAACAATGCTGGGGGCATGGTCAACGCGGTCAATGTACCAGGCCGTTGGCACAGCAAAGACGGGAATGAGAGCAAGGAAGCCTATCCAGAAGTCCCACATGGCCGAAAGGTTGAACCAGACCACCGCAGCAGAGGTCACACTGGTGATTGCCTGAACAGCAAGCAGAACCAAGAAGAATCGATAAAGCCTGTGCCTACGAAAAAGCAAGACTACCGCCAAGACCTCTTGTCCGGCTCTGCGGCTTAGGTTTGCATAAGATCCGGGATGCCATGCTGATCCGAATAGCAAGGATCGCCGGTCGTCTGCCAAGTGAGTCGCTTATCGCACCCAGCCTGGGAAGAGAAAACACTCAAAAAGTGCAAGAAGAAGGAAAGAGAAAGAGGGCCTGAGACAAAGCGGGCCTCGGTCTCTCTCTTGCCAAGCGGCGTTGGCCCTGTCAAGAACTGAACCACAGGCCCGGCCAAGCCTTCAAAGCAGCACGCAAGACCGACAGCGCCTGGGCCTTCTAGGTAGAGACTTTCCGCAGGCTGCCAATCCACTTTGAAGTTGGGGTATGTCGGGGTGGCTTCGGAAGCGCCCCCTACGAGTAGCTGCCCTGGTTACCTGGTTACTAAGGAGGGGATTCATTTTTGAATTCTTCCGAAGTCTGTCGATCACACACCCACCTCTCACGACAGCGAGCTGCATCGCGTCCGTCGCAGCTCGGCTACAGGGTAACGAAGCCATGTTAACTGCACAGTCCACGGGCGCTTCCGCATGCTGGCGCGCGAAGTAGTTCAAGTACCTTGGGTCGACAGGTGCCATCCTCCAGCTGTTCTGAGCTACGAAGTGAGTGCTGTCAGTGGAATCAACGAACGCCGCTCCCTGAAAGAGCAGGGGCCTCAGGCCTGGTCAGGCCAAAGCACATGTAGGGAATGCTCGGTGCAACAGCTGCCACGGAGAAGATTCCCAGCAGGTGAATGATCCACATGGGCCCAACTCGCTCAACGATATACCACAGACCTGTCAAAATCAAAGTGCCTCCTCCATACTGGCATGTAAGTATCGGATGACTAGAACTCACGTCACAATGTGCACCAGAAAAGGTAGATAGATTCAGGGTCTATCTTTTAATATTTCCGAATAGGACGGAGGTGCTGCGCGGAGGTTCGAGCTGTTCCTCTTCCTGAAGAACTTCGACGGTTTTTTGAGGCCCGCCGACGCGACGGCGAAGGAACAATGAAATGGAAAAGGCAACCACATGTGGCAGCACTACAGCCAGCACAAAAGATAGCCGTCCCGCATTCGCGGCAAGGAGACTGCCAAAGACTGATTGCCGATCTGTGCCAGGCACATTTTGGACAGCTGTGAGTTGGGCGTGCTGTTCGCCCCCGCGGCGCTCAAGCTTCGTACTCACTTGCAGCAGCTCAAGACGCAAAGCCTCTTCGTCTGCAGAGTCAACCTCATCAAAGACTGCCTGGGTTTCTTTGCACACGGCATCAGGGCAGGCCGCAGCCTCCGATGCAGCTGGATGCCATGGAAGTGAAACGTAAATTGCCACTCCAAGGATGTGGCCGAGTCGCAGCATTTTTTCCGACCCGAAGCATCTCGAGGTGCGATGGCCACGGGAACACGAGAGCAAGCACATGATGTAAACTCCGTTTGCTGCAGCCTTTGCAATCAGAGAAGTGTGCAGGGCCTCGTCAAAAACGACAATGCTTGGCTCGATCGACGAACCACCTTCAGAGCAGGTTGCCGGTGTCTGGACGGTCTCCCCCTCGGCCTACAAAAGCAAACCCAAAAGAGATGGATTCAACGGCACAAGTACCTGCAATAAGAGCCACAGGGAGGATTCTATCTACGAGCGCAAACACCGAAGGAGTGCTGTCACCCGCCTCGTGCATTCGCCCGTGCTCCAGGAAGGCTCGGGGCCCCACCCAGGCTTGACGCCAGAGACACCTTCGGATCCAGGACGTACCTCCAGGCTGGCCAGATGAGTATTCGAGAGGTGCCGCGAGCACAAGACGCTCAGATCGGATGCTCAGCTGGTCTTCATGCGAGCTCTACCACGTTCGAGTGCTAGGGCATGCACTGATAGTTGAGCACGACCACGCTCGAGGCTTGAATCAGCCGGCGTGCTGCATAGTACGGGCACCATCCGTAGCCCCTGGATTCAGTGAGAATCAGTGATGCAAGAACGCCGAGATCACCGAACAAAAAGACTTCAGTGGTCCGGTCTGCATGTCACAGGGCCACCTGTGGGTGGGCATCCGTCGTCAACATGCTTTAACTCATGCAGACGACAGATGCATGGCTGCGGCACTGACACACGAACCAGAACTGAGCTGGGACCCATTTCTGCGGCAAGCCAAGCTTCGACTCCAGGCCCTTGGCGCGCAGGTCCTCGATGGTGTAAATGCCTCTGCAACAAGGCCGGGTCTGCTACGTCACACTACACCCAAGGTTCCTGCTGCACGGCATACCATGCCCATTGTGGAAAAGCAGGTCACGCGAACAGCAACTGTAAGGGATTCCACCACCTGACTGTGATGCCCCAGCATGCGGTCCAACCTGTATCGAGCAGCTGCGACTGGTGAGCGAGTGCAGTCTCGTACCTGAGTGCACGGGAAGTAAAATTGTCGTGAACAGGTGCTCTCTTTGCAGGTTCACAAGAGGAAACAGAAATGCGCAACGCTGTTACACCCGATTGTCGCAGAATCCACTGACGGCTTTCTTTGCCTCGGGACTTCTCGAAGTGCGTGCAAAGGCTGTCCCTGTTCGCCTTCTCCCTGGCCCATGGAGCAGTCAACTGTCGGCACATCCTCAGTGAACGCGTAGAAAAACGGTCGCAATAAGGACTCTGGATGCTGCTCTCCATGCACCCCGCCATACCCCGCCCCACAGTTCAGGCCGCAAGCTCGTCCACGCGCTCTCGATCGCCCTCCTTGCTCACCTCGGGGTGGACGCACATGTTGCCTCAGCTGTTGGGTGGCGAGCTCAGATCGAATCCTTTTGCCTGCCATCTTCCCTATTGAGCTATTGACATCTTCACCCCTTTTTGCAGGGAAGCCGCGAATCGAAACAGGAACCGGGAATCGAAAGGCAAGGAAACGAACCGCAAGGAAAGCACGAGAATACCCACCCGAAACGAATCGAACCGCAACGTCGGCCGTGTGGAAACGATCCAAAACGAACCGCAACGCCGCCGAAACGAAACGAACGAAACCTCAGCAGCAACATTAGCCGCTGGCGGCAGCCCACGAAACGTTAGCAGCAGGAGTAACACTGGCGGCAGCGCCTGCGTTGTCACTGTTGAACATGCTGAAATTGATACTCCCCCGCGCCCTCCGCCCACTTCCCCTTGTTTCTTACCAGAGACGTGCGGAAATACCAACTTCAACGCTCCAGCCCCAAAAAAGCTGAAATTGATACTACCCCGCGCCCTCCCCCCACTGCCCCTTGTCTCTATGCCCCGGCACCAGAGAACACGCATCGAATCGAATCGAAACGCCTAGCGCTACCCAAACGAATCGCAACGATTCAGCAAACCGTTTGCTGCTTCATCTCCGGCAGCTCAGTGAACTTTGAAACGATTTCCTGACCTCAACCACGCCGACTCCCGAACATAATGCCTCACCACTCACCACGCATGAGCCTGCCGGGACTTCCACGCAAATTTCCATGCGAGCGGCGTCTTGCGGATAATCCGACCTGAAGTGGCACTGGTGCAAGAAGATCAAGAAGCTACAGGAGGATCAGCACTGATTCTAGTGAAGCAAGCCACCGCCAAGATGTGCCCGGCAGACAAGCCGGTCGGCTCTTGAACACAATCCTCACCTTTGCACGGCATCGGCTAACGGAGAAAAATGCAGGCGACTGTTCACAAGATGTTGATCCTGAAATAACCTTAGGCTTCCCATGTCTGGAAGGTCTCTGAGGTGCGGTCTTTCTTTCGATGCTCGATCTTTGGCTAAAACCTCCACACGGAAGTCTATGACCTGGCACTGCTGCGCTGCGTTGCCAATGTGTCGCAAGACGCTGCCCTGCCTTGCGCAGCTCCTCAAGAGCTTTGCTCATCTCGGGAACTGTCCGTGTGCAATAAACCAACCGACCCACTTCAGGGTGCGCCCACTGGTACCTAAGCGGCACAACATCAACACTTTCATCTGGACCATCTGGACGCTTACATACAAGTTCCCACTGCATGTGCGCAGCTCTGACGAAGACAAGCGGCGAGGTGATCAATGAGAACAAGGTGACAGTTTTCCCTGGCAGTGTGAAGAAAAACGTGTCTTGAATGCATTTATCCAAGGAGGAGGACAGCTGCTGCATGCGGCTTACAGCTGGCCGGCTAGCCCCTCTCGCGGCCCCTCAGCGCATTGGATTCAAGGGAATGCCAGCCTGCCTGTACCCGTCGGCATCTCAAGGACGCCATTACCTTTGGCATCCAATGCCCGCTTCAACTCGCACATGTAGCGGTACCTCGAATGATGCTGGTCTTCCTGCTACAGGCCCTAGATGAATGGACAAGCGACACTTAGACTGAAATGAAGCTGGTTGAAGTTCCATAAAAAAAAGTAGCGCAGGTACCGGGGTGTGTCGACATGGAGACTGCTCACTGTTCTTGTAAACACTTACTGCCTTGACACGTTAGCCGTTGGCCATTTCGACATTGTGGGGAACTCGGAGCTCCGTTGCAGCAGCAGCTTTTGCGCATACCGGAGGTCTCGTCTGGCAGTGACTTGTTCCGCATGCGGGTTCAAGTGTCTCCGTCTGACACACACACACACAATAGAAACAGCACCTCTCACCGCTAAGAAATATGCTTCAACAAGGCTAGACACAAAACTTGGTCACACTGGGATACCCGCATGTCACTACCTCCATGTGCCTTTTGGCAAGACAAAAATGTGTATGATGCCGGCGACAGGACTGTACCGGTAACAAGTCGAATTCTGCCTTTGGGCCGAGTTTTCAGTCACGGACTGAACCCTGCATTTTTGCTCAAAAATTGTGTCCCGCCACCACCGTCCATTGCCATCTAGATCGAAGCAGTCGCAGCCTTCTGACACAAATGCCATCCAGCTACTGTTCCGGGTAGATGCTGTCATATGGGAAGAACACGCGCAGCTCGCCGATGTAGAATGTGAAACCCATGATCCGTTGCCTTGCACAGAGCACGGATGAAATCTCAATTTGGAGTGCAGAATCTGATGCTTCTCTGCTGGCAATGTCTATGTCGATTTTTTCGCTCAATCAGATTCGAAACCCCTCAGCAACCGTGCCTTCGCTAGTTACAGAAGGCTGTTCCCGACTTCGACACTGGAGCAGGATCCTGAGCATTGCGCTTTATTACACAATTGACAGCTGACTCGGCTTCTTTCCAGACCAGCTTCTGCTTCTGCTGGGCATTTCGCGCCCTCACCGTTTGACGGCCATGTTCCCAGGTCGTTCCGTGGAGCTAGAGCCGAGAATTCAAGCGGCGCTGCATTCCGTAGTTGCCAACAAAGCATCAAGGACAGTCGATCCTCAGTCGATCTGCCAAAGCCATCCGCTGTTATCTTGAAGCTAAGAGCAAGCCAGCGTGTCCCGAAAGCAAGCGAAGGCTGCAGCGGCTGAACCTCCTCTCTTGAGAAAGCAGTCATGGTAGCAACCTTCCGGTTCCACTCCACCACCTCCCAAAACGCAGCTCTGGCACTCTAACTGGACACATGTTCGCGGGTGCTTTGGAGGTCATGCCCAGCCTTGCCCTCCACATCGATCTCGAAGATGGGAGCATTGGCAGTGTTAAGTAAGCGTTTCAAGTCGTCTGCAACCTGTACCAACACGCCCCACAAATTCGTGCTGCATGATCAGACCGCCCATCCCACCTGCTGTGCCCCAACCATTGCTCTGCCCAGCTCGGTGATGTCCTGCCGCACATCGGGTAAGCTTCATCTCACATGTTTTCAGTTCATGTCATGGGTCTAAAGTGGACCGCTGCGCTCTTCTGCACGATGCCTGCAAAACTCTGCAAACTACAAGAAAGACGGCTGGGCCACCTGGGAATGCTCAGTCAGACGCAAGCATTGCTTAGCTTCAAAGATGCCTGCTAGAGTGCGACTGAGGGCAGTACTGGCTGTGCTGTGTACTAGAAGTTACTAGAAACTCCTACCAGAGTCGAAAGGCCGACTGTCCTGACCGACAAAAACGGCTCCGCTGATGTCACCGTTCGCAGCCCGTCGCGGGGTGGCATTCAGCAGGAGCTCCAGGTGCTCCCCAGACTGGCAGAAGGAGCAGGATGCAGGCTTTATGTGACCAAAGGCAACTCGTAAGCCTCACGTTACCTGGCATGCAACCACACTGGTGTTCCAGGACCGCGGGCCCCAATCCGATGTGGAGCGCAGAGATTGCAGGCAAGGCTTCCGGACTAAGTCGGACCTTGCTGACCAGGACGAACTTAAAACTGGCCGTCTCTTCGCCTTGAAGTGCCTGCAACGAGGCAAGAAAGAGGAGAGTTGAGCCTTGCCACGGGAGCACAGCTTTGGCGGCGCAGTTTCACCGCTGCACCTTCTCCAGCACGGTGCGCACCCGGTCCTGGAAGTCGACCCGGATGAACTCCTCTTGGCTTCGGTCAACGCTTTAGAATGATACGTTTCCTGACACAGGTCGCAAGCATCAGTCAGCTACAACATACATTCAAAGACTGCTTTTTCTCACTTGCACAGCGCACCTTTGGCACTTACACGGCGATCTCCATTAGATCCTCTTGGATGCTCCAGCCGCTTCAGGCACAGGTCGCTTAGTCTCTAGCGGACTCCACAGTCGCTCAGCTACTCAGACGCTTGATGTTGAGGCCGTGGTGGAATTTCTCGGCTCTTTTTTGCCTCAATGGAACGTACCATCGCGGGTCTGCAAGCTGGCGTTCGAGGGTGGTAGACAGACGCTACAACAGACAGGTCGGCGATTCGCTTTCCCAACATAGGCGTCCTTTCAGGATCCTATCCGGCTTCTGCAGCATTTGCGCAGACAGGCTGTGTCGCCAGCTTGTGACAACTGAACATTTGTCTGTCCAAAGAACTCCACCTCCCATCTTGGAACAGACCGCGATCAGCAGAGTGGAAAACTAGCAGCAGAACCTCGGCTGTACAAAACCCTTTGCCGCCAGAGAAATCCGGCGATCCGAACAGCCCCTCACCCCTTCGGACAGCCAGCGACAAAATGCTTTGGACTCGATGCAGGAATCTCTCTCTCTCTGCGAATGAGGAAAGTGATGCGCGGAGGTGAAATAACCATGCGGAGGATCCGACGGGAGACGAAATGCACCTCCTCCTTCAGCTACGTGCCACAGGCTAGCCGGCAAGTCGAACGAAGACTCACAGAACGAAAAAGCTTGCTGCACATCTTCCGCACACAAACACAGAACAGAGCGGAATAAGTAATGCAAAAGCGCATGCAAGCCGCCAAGGTTTCGATGAAGGTGAAGCTTTGGCCTTCCGACGGTTTCCGTGAAAGGCATAGTCCTTGGCACCACTGGTCATCACTGCTCGTCTGCATGTTGAAACAAAAGCAGCAGCACTTCAGCCAAGCGTCGCCACATGACTCCGCCCAAAGAAAGGAGCCATCCTGCTGTCCTGCAGCTAAGGGCAGCACATATCAGCACATCCATGCGAGTGAATGAAATGACGCTGGCATTCAGACGAGTCTTTCGGACTCCTTCGGGGGACATGGCCCGGTGCAGATCGCCACCTGGAAGTGGAGGACATGCCAGTCTTGACCACGAATCTCCGCCATCATGTTGATGGACCGATGGCACTAGCAAACCCACGAAAGACTTGTGGAGTCACGGTTCATCTCGCGGGCCCGCTACTGCCCTTCTGAGGCCGGCGGCTGAGATCTTTGCTGGCTCGAAACGCCTCGGGCGAAACCTGAGCCGCAGACGCCCGCTCCGCCAGATCCCCAACGCCTTTCAACCCTTGCCTTGTGGTGGAATTGTCTTGTCAGTTCTTCGTCTTCTGCCTCTCACGTGTGGTTTTTGAACATTCGGCTTGCTTTCGTCAATGCAGATTCCTCCAGTTTTGCGCAGATCTTGTGTGGGCGTATGGCATGGAATTGACGGCGGCCCTGCAGCTTCAGAAGACTGAGACTGCGGCCGTCAAGCTGTTCTGGCTGCCTAAGCTCCCACTTCGGTCCACCTTGCAGTGAGGGATGTGCGCACTACAGAATCCGCCCGGCAAAAGTCTTTCCTCTCTAGATATGGAGGCTTATGCAAGCCTTCCCATGGTTCGGCCGGTCACCAAGGATCCGGCCGAGTCAGATTTTGACGCCATCTCCTGGATTGGGCTGATCGTGGTCGGCCTTCCCTTGGCTTAAGAAATCGTCGCAGTTGACACCACTGAAGGAAAAGATGAAGGTGCCTCTTCTTCGTCGAGACATGCTCCAAGACGCAAGACAGGATGAGGACAAGTACTGAGTACAGACTGCTGCTCTTACTAACAGTTGTCCTGACGACGAATTGGACAACGGTGCTCGTCCAAACCTAGCTCGGGCCTCAGACTACTCTTTCGGCCGAAGGTCTCAATCACTACTGATACAGACTCGTAGTGAGGCGCTGCGCCAGAGAACGAGAAGTCCTCCCAAACAGTGAAGACTGGGGAAGACAACGTCCGAATGCCACATGCGGGCCAAGGGTGAGACTGTGGACCAAATAACTGATCTGAGGATATCCTCTCGCATGCTTGGCCGGCCAAAGGAAACGCTAATATTCTAAGAACCCAAAAGACCGCAGTACGAGTGCCAACAAGGAAAACCCCTGACAGCCCAGAGATATTACACACAGGAGACAAGAACAAAGATCTGGGCTGCGCAACCGGCGCGCCACCCAGAATCTCTTTCCCAAATCCAAACAGCTTTGTGACATAGGCATGCTGCGGCCAAAGAGCTGAACCACTCATCCCAAGCCGCGTGCGGGCGACCGGCGTATCGAGCGGAGATCGGAAATCGGCAGTCACTGTTGACCTGCATGCATTTGGATGCATGCATGCCTCGCATACAGCAGCGGGAAAGGATGAGGAACGTGGGTTTTCTGTGTTGCAAGATTCCTCGACAGGTTTAAAGAGTCGAGCTGACCTGCGTGGCCAGGAAAGCTCGCAAAAACCTGTCCCACGATTTGAGTAGATACAACATCCTGGTGCCAACACTGTACCAGACGCACTGGAACGTTTCGAGACCGCAACTGTCCGGGGCACTTGGCTGTCCCTGGCACCCAGCATTGCAATAACTGCTTTTGTACAAAGTTTTAGGCTTTAGGATCTAGGATCTAGTTAAGCTCGCACAGATGTGCCTTTTTTAGCATTCGGTTGATGGTTTATCTGTGTTGCATATCACGTGGCATGGTTTGCCAGTGCGGCGACGCCCCGCTGCGAAGCAGGTGCTTGACGTCCTGCCGGAACGCCTCTCAGAGTGTCGCCGGCTCTCACGGACACGTGCGAGCTTCTTGGGCCGCCTCGAACTCGGCATCCCGGCGTGCCAACATGCTGCGCATTTCTCGTAGCTCATCAAGAAGCTGGTCCTGCCTGAGCTAGTTGACACACAGTTTCGAACGGTTTGCAAGACTCTATCCCACGTCCAGCTGCTTGTGCAAGAAGCTCTGAAGATCTCCATGCGGCACGGTGTGCTCCAGCTTCCATCTATGAGGAGGTGCTTCGCAGCGCGCCTACCAAGGCATGCAGCCGAGCCCAAAATCAAGTCTGTCTCGGACCCCCCTCGAGCATGTTGAACTGAAGTGTAAGGGCAAATTCAGAGATCCACTGCTCGAGGCGACGCAGAACCCACAAACTCCAACAGAGACACAGTGCAAACTGTACCGTGACCAGGTGCCTGGCAAGCCAGAGCCTGCGCAGCAATGCTTCCACGTGGGCGTGGCAGGGATGCCTTTCCATGGTCCGAGCTTTTTCTGGAGAATCGGTTGCTCAGCACACTGCTTCTGCACATACTTTGCTAAAGAGCCACATGGTACAATTGTTGGGTAGGAATTGTGTCACGCTGCCGGCATTTTGGTGGCCAACAGATGCGCGACGGGCAATCTTGCATTGCTGTAAACGAAATTCCGACAATGATTCAGGTTTTCGAGTGAGCAGTGGATACCAGTGTCTGCACCATAGCTTTCTCGGTGGATTGTGCGTGTCAGCACAGAGGCAAGGGATCTTCGAGAACATCGGGCAAGTTCTCACCAAGAGCGACTCCACGGCTTCGACGGCTTCCTCTGGCTTTTCAGCCAAGCGAAAAGAGCGCATCACAAACTCCCAAGCTGGAGTGGGGTGGGGCGGGAGGTGGCGGAAGTTAGGAAGCTCACAGCCGCAAAGGCCACGCTCGCAAACCCACGCCAGCCACATGTCGTAATCCATCAAGGAGACTCGCGCACAGAGACACACCTGCCCGCAAGACTTTGGTCAACTGGTTGAACTGTGCACTCAGGCACGGTCACATCGTTGTCAACGACTATGCCCATTCTGGCAGGTCCGCATGAGGGTCTAGAGAGACAGAAAGCACTCACTGCAACAGGCTGCAACACCCAGGACATCACTCCTGTAGTCTTTTGCCTCCCACCTAGCTGGGAAGGCAAGAAGGCTATCGGCATCCATTAACATCTGAACCGACGCAATCGATGCTTTGCTACCTGCACATGTCCCCATTCCCGAAATCAACCACATCCACACCCTGTATCCAAAGCAAGGCACGCAAGCTTCTTCACGGAGATCTGGCTGGCTCTCCAAGCTGCACCTCAACACGCTTGTTACGAGTCTGATTGAACTCAATAGCTCTCTCTGAGGCCGCATCCTGGCGTGCATGCTGCCTCGCTGAGGCGGAGCCTGAGTCTGATAGCATGTGATGCTATCCGGCGACGGCATCGTCTGCTTGCCCCCTATTGAAGCCTCGCCCCAATCTCTGTGCAATGGAAAGCTGCAGCTCCTTAGGGCCGCTTGGATTAAGGGTCGAGGCTGAGGCGCCAGGCCTTGCTGCGACATGGTTCTGAGCCTGAAAAAGATGCGAACCGATGCTTTGGGAAGTGAAAAGACCCGCAGGCCATTAAGCGAGGCCGCTAGGAGCAGCCGTGCCTCGTTGACATCTCAAGAGCAAGTGGCACAGCCCGTTGGCCATTTTCTCGAAGGTTCCGTCGTCTGTTCAGCGACAGCGCGCCAATGAAGACAGCACTGCTCACCAATATTCCAATTGCAAGGCCAGTGCTGAAGGACCAGGCATCGAAACTAGATGGCTGAGGGGGCCGGCCGTGTAGCCGCAGTGGCCGCGCCATGAACCAGGAGCTCTTACCCTCTAAAGACTCGTCGTAGACATACCGTATGATGGGCCATCCGTTTGAACTGCGCATCTCTGTGGCAGATTGAATGAATTCAGCCGTGTTGTCCCATCCTTTCATTCCCAACACAAGCTCGGCGCCTGAACCGCAGCCTTCCGAGTACATCGGAAAGTCGTGCCACATTCCATGGAAAATATCGACCACAATCGTTGCGCCACTTGCCGCAGCTTTTTGAGCCAAGATGACGCTGTCTCCCAGTAATGTTTCCTCGGAGCCCACCAAGAAGTGCAGAGGAGGCACCGAAGCGAGTATCTCTGGGCTTGCATATATCGGTGATGCAATTGGGTCCAACAGCATCTGCTTATGTCCTCTGACATATTGCAAGGCCACCTCGCGAAACTCTTCCATGTTTCTTGCTGGCGGACTCCTGAACAGTATGTCACCTTGGTGACCTAGAGCTTTGCCCAAGCTTGAGTTGAAGATCCTCGAGTACGCATTGGTGAAGTATTCCGGTGTGTCACACATCCTCACAGCGCCGGGTTTTGGTCGATACAACAACGGCAGCATAGCATCCCTGATTGAGACCTAACCAACAGATTAACGGCTTGCTACCGCAGTCCTCGAAGGGTCCAGTATCACGAAAGGTCTGAAAGGATCATGACTAGAAATCGGCAAATTACCGTACTTCTACACAGCTGGGGGTTGCACAGAAACCATTCGGAGACAAGACCGCCGAAAGGCACGAGGCTCCTGCATTCCGAATGCATCCCTGCACATACGGTATGTGTTTCCGTGGGCGGGCAAGGAAGGCTAAAGCGAAAGCAAGCGTACAAGCAGACCCGGAAACAAAGCACGTAATATGGACAAGGGCCAGCACGCATGCATACCTGTATGCGCCCATAGCTTAGCGTTCACGGATACGTGTGTCAACGTGCACTGCACAGTCGTTGGTGTGTAAGAAACCCGAGCTAAATCTTCTTGAGTGAAGGCTCAAATTAGTCCATGGGCTCCACATAAAGCCGCCGGCAACATTGAGCTTGGGCATGGTGCTGCTCGGGCTCTGCAAATGGAGGATGAGGCTGATGGCCGTTGTGGCTCCACTGGAGTCTCCACCGACCTGGTAAGGCCCAGGCTGGGCTTGGAAGGCTCGGCTGCCCAACTAAAAAAACCCTGAAAAATACGAGTACCAGCGAGCAACGAAAAGCTTGGCAAGAGCGTCGGCCCGACAGTTCTCCAGAACTGCAGCAGACCCAAGCCACAGCATCGCTTCAATAGAAGCTTTGAGCATAGAGTCAAAGTCTCCAACTGGCAGCAACGGAAAGTCGGGCATCATGACGACACATCCTGTTCTCCCGGCCAGTTTCGAACCCAGCACATGGTATCCGGTCGAGGTCGGTGAGCCATAATACCAACTGCCTCCATGCAAGAAAAGAATGCGGCAAGATTCACAAGTCGCACCGGCCGGAATGGACAGGAGGTCATCCCCGCGCAAGCCCGGCTCTGAAACGCAGCCCTTAGCCGCGATACACTCCCAGGACGTGCCCGGTCGACTTATGCTCCTCTGCAGAACAGATGGGTCGCTGATCTGATCGAGGCAACAGCTTCCATTCTCCAAAAGCTGCGCACGGCAAAACTCCAAAGACATCTGACCGGGCAACCAGTTTAACACGCCATTAAGACGCCATGGCTTCCTCCCGGCAGCACCATGGCGAGCAGTCTGTTTTCACACGAATGTGTCGGAAAGTAGCCACAGCAGGCAGCGAAAGAGACTTGTGATCCTGATCACACGCAATGCACCTAACTACAAGTACCAGCAGACTGCCAACCCACCAGCGCACCGTGCACGTGACATTCTAGGACTGCCAAGGTAAAAATTGCCAGAAATGGAATGCTCTTGCCAGCGCAACCGGCTGTTCGATAGCGAAAGCGGCGAAAGCGCAAGTCTGAGCCAAGAGGCTTCCGACTGGCGCGGCGGCAGCCGGGGGGGAAGTCCATGCTGCTCTCGATGCAAGGCATCCTTGCGAGGATGCGCAGCAAAAGCCAGGGCAGCTAAGGCATCAGTCGTTACTCTGTGCCCAGCGGTGCCTGGTAGGACCAGAGAAGAGCGCGGCTGGCATCACCCACTGCATCAAAGGCCTCCAGCAAAGCTGCAAACCCGGTCCGGACAAAACCTCATGCGCTGCAACGGTTCGCGATTAAGTGGGGAACTACAAGGCGTGCTGGCGGGAGGCAGCTTGGGCGGGATGTCACGCTTGGCCCACGGGGAAACTGTTCGGCAAAGACGGCTATGGACGGTGGCAGCATTACTCTTCACGAGTGCTGTGCAGGAGAGCTGTTGCTGGCGCATCCGGCCCTCTTTTGATGACGAAAGCAATCAAAGCTGATCTTGCAGGAGAGACGCAGGCGTATCTGGCACAGTGTGCCAGCCGGCTGATGTCCGTGCAGCCATGATCAGGTCATCACCTGGACTGGCATCTTTACAAGGCTCTCTGGCACAAAAACAGGCACAGCGGAAGTGGCGGCAAACTATAGTACTTGCTGGCCAAGGCTCGGCCGGGGCTGTGCAAGCTTCGATCGAAGCAGGCAAATCACAGCACGCTAGGTCAGCTAGCAAGTCTGATGTGCTTGAGGCTGAAGCACGGCATCTAATGGCAATGCAACAAATTTGCAAAGCTATCCCTGTCAAAACCTTTTGACTTGCTGTCCTTGACATACCTCCAGGTTGAACTTCAAAAGTGCACAGGACAGTCCAAGTCCCTGTCACAGGCCGAAAAAAAATTGCCAAATCCCAACAGCCAGCAGCTCCTCCACAAGAGCTTGGCCCAAAGCCTCCTCCTGGCCAACATCAAGAGCACAAACTTGTTGATTTGCACAGCTCGTGAATATCACTGTTCGCGAGCACCAGATGGTGGAACTCCCTCGTGCCGACTATGATGTGAATTTTGGACCCCTGGCTTTGCATGCACGATGCATGGAAGCCTGAAGTCGTCTCTGGAGGCCTAGCTACGACGGTGAAACCTCTGCATGCAAGCCGCCTTGCGTGCCTTTCATGCTTCCTGAGCATGGCGATGCAGCCTGCTTGGCTTCTACGTAAGCTGAGTGGAGGCTTGACTGGGGGGATTCAGCACTTGAGTGAAACATTCACTTCATTTCCGCGCATGCAATCGATCACCAGGGAAGCGGTCCAGGTGTCTTGCCAGGGCCTGCACAGGAAGCCATCAGCACATTCCTGTGCGCAATCTCCGTTGCTCGCCTTCTCCGTTCCGCAAGTATAGCCGCAGATGCACCCGATCTCGGGCTCTGAGTCGTCATCTGTCCCAGGTCGGGCCGCTCGGGCAATCGGCACTCGGCCACCCGCGCTGGCACGCGATCTGTGGAGATCCTTGGGTCGGAAGCAGCAGGCCCAGCTGAGCTTCGTTGAGCACACGCGTCTTTGCAAGCCCAGTGGCCTCTGAAAGGCCGCCGGGCCCAAAACCACCCAACGCCTTCCACAACATGCAACATGCCATGACTCAGATGCAGGAAGATTGCTGAGAGCAAACCCTCCACAAAAGGGTGGGGACAAGCTGGCAAGCTGAGGCATTTGCTCAACTGAACAGCAGCTTGTGGGAACGAAACCTCTTTGGACTTTTTTTATCCGGTTTTTGGAACGTTTGGAAATTGCAATTGAGTCAACAAAATCGGGCTCAAACAGAAGTAGCCTGCGAGAGCCACGTGACAGGAAGTTGTCATTGAACAAGCCCGGGAAATAGAATCCTCAGAGATGCTGGCGTGCCTTGGGCGGGATAAGTTGAGCCTGTCATAAGGAAGTGTTCAGCAGGTAATGCTCTGGCATAGCACATTTGGCATAAAGTCGCAGTAGGTCCGATTGAATGGGCTGAACACTTGACGACAGACCTAAGCACAAAACATATTAGCTGCCGCAGCCTATGCTGCGCAGCTCTTCGCAAAGCTGTCGAGTCACACCCTTTCGGTGTCGATAGCTTCTACGGAACGAGGCTCGTCTGGAAAGCTCTGCTGAACAAGTATGTCGCGCAAACCATATGCAAGATTGGAGAAGTCATTCTCCTGCTGGTGTGCCCGTGTCCAGTTCTCATCGGCCATCTGAACCAGAATTGCAGTCTGTGTACAATGGAACTTGCAACGGGAGATGCATGTGCGAAAGATGAACCTATTGCGCACGGCAGCTGCAAAGGCACTCAAGTCCGACAGATCGACGGTAACTATCTGCCTGCGTCGCAGCACAGGCATGTTCTCTACCGCAGGGAAAAGGTTGCTGAGCAGATCCACAAGGACTTGCAGAAGCACTGTCAGACCCAGCAAGGCGTTAGCACGTGCACAGGATATGCAGTCTGGCAAGAACTGAAGGACAAACGCACGCTCCTGAATTCCTTCCATGAGAAAATGCTCCACAAGAAGCTTCCTTTCCGAAGAGGTGCAAGCTTGCCACGAATGCCATAATGCGGTCAGCCCCGGGGCATCGCGGACACGGCTCAAACAAGCAAGGCGAACCAATGCCAGTTCCTCTGCCGTGCGGTGCTGAAGGCCCATAGGGCGAGCACGAGAGATAAGATAACTCCAGTAGATACCCGAGGGCGATTTGTCCAGCAAGTGCTTCAGCAGGTGAATTGCGGAAATAGCAGCATCAGCATTCCTGGCAATCATAAATCTGGAGCCACGGCCACCCGAGATGCCACTCATGAACCCCAGGAGATAGAAGATGTAAAACCTGAATGTGGTCGTACTGCGGTGCATGAAGAAGTCTCTCAGCTCGGCAATATTTCCAGGGACATTCTCACCCTGCATCATCTGGGCAAGCTTGAAGACTTCCTGGGCAAGCACGGTTTCTTGCAGCAGGTCAACCATTGAAGGGTCTCTGCCTTCCAGGCATTCAACCGAAGGCACGACTTTTCGTGCTGAGTCCATGAGATACAAAACAGCACGGTCTGGATCTCCCTGAGACGCTTGCTGCCGCACAGCTCTGGATTTACCCAAGGCTCTGATGCCAAGAAGTACGAGCACGGCAAACTTTTCACCCTGCGAGGGCGTCGACCACTTCACTAGAGCCTGGAGCTGCTCCCACTGCGACCTGAGCTGAGAAGAGGCTACCAGCGGCTACCTACATCCACCTACGACTCTTCAACTTCTCTGGCTTTCGAGCAAAGGGCAAGGAGAGCTTGTCGCCATCAGGCTGCTGCTCCGTGTAGATGTCGTACCGGTTGCAAAGCAGAGCGACAGTGCTCACGCAGGCAGACTCTGCCTGATCCCTGGCAGCAAACTCCTCGAACACCGCGTAGGAACCCACAGCACAGTGGAGCTCGGGCAGCAGGGTCTGCAGCTGCCTCTCAGAAAGCATGATTCTTTCGAAGGGGTGCTTACAATTCAGCTGGTACCCAGTTGGTTGAAGCAGATCATTGAGGACCCTATTGCAGACAATCATCGCATGACAAACGCGTACACATCGGTCACCGCCCCCGGCCGGCCTGCCCACTTCGGAGGCATCCAGCCCTGCATCTTGGTTTTGGCTTCTGACATCACTCATCAGACCAGCTAAGCGCTCCCATGGATCCTGTGGACTTTCTGTGTGCTGCAAATCTTGCACATGGCGTCTCACGTCCATGTTGTGAAAGAGCTTTCTCTCATCAGGGCGAAGGCTTCGGTAGTGTGCGTTCTTGTCACAGCAAAGCTGTGCATATTCCACTTGGCGATGATGTTTATCGTGGCTGCTTTCCTGCATCGCGAGGAAGTCCCTGGCATACTCATAGAACATGGCCATAGAGCTTGGTGAGCCATGCACACACAGCAGCAAGTCGTCGCCCGTTAGAGTAAACACCTCAGCGATGTTGCGGGCCCTCAGCGTCGCCGTGTGGAGCACAAACTCCGCATAAAGGCCAATCTCTGAGAACCAGTGGGCCTCTTCCCCCTGGATTCTTTTGGGATGATTCTTCATTGGCGCCTCGTCGAGCTCGAAAACGCCCGCCGCCGTGATGTGCAACTGGTCTGCCAAGTCCCCCACCATGAAGACACACTCTCCTTTCTCGTAGGCCTGCTTCTGCAGGGCCGCACAGATCTTGGCGAAAACATCCGGGTATACGTCTGCTGTGACAGAAAATATTGGAATATTGCACAAGAAAGTAGATCTTTGCGAAACGAAGAGCTCCGCTTGCAGAGTCGGAGAAATCAATGTCGGGTCAAGTTGAACTGCCAGAGTCCTTTCTAGCTTGTAGTCCACAAACCTCGGGAAGAGCTTTGGTTCCAACAGAAGAACTAGCTTTACAGCTACATCGGCTCCAAAGCCCTCAGTCTCAGCTGGCCAGGGTGACAGGAAGTCAAGTAAGAAAGCCAAGGCGTACAAAAAATCCATCAAGGCACTTTGCCCGAAGAACATAGGGGCTGCAGTCACTAAGAAATCGAGCGCTTCTTGTCCAGCGCTGCCGCTGTATACTTCGAGACGAGAACATGACAGGAGCCTGCTGAGAGCAATGCCTGTTCGCATCGTGACGAGGTCTCTGCCCGAAACTGCTGCACATACATTTCCGGATGGAAAACGAAACAGATCGGCAGACGGTTCCGATCGTGCGAGATCCCCGAGCCCACCCAGGAAACACCCGATGCTGAATTGCAACTATGTAAGCCCTGGCCATAGGCAAGATGCACTCTGACCATTGCCATTTCCATTACCTGAAGTCCGGCGAAGCAAACAATTTCAAACCCATCCAAGGGGCTTCATGATTCTGGAAACGAGCTCATAGGAGGCGTTCTGGCCTTTCAAGCAAAAGATATCTGTCAAATGGCCGTGCTGTCCTCAACACATTCTGTACATTTGCAGAGTACCCAACAGCGTCTCTTTATTTACTGCACGAGGTTCGACCGGTGACCCAACCAACTCGGACAATGCATCGACTATGTCGGCTTTGATAAGGTACATGCACTGAATGCAGGCCCTTTCGCTGGCCTGTTAAGTAGAGTCGGACCTCCCGGCGTTGCCGTGCACGAGCTTCGTTCATGGCGCGGAGGTCGTGAAGAGATCCGGCAATGGTTGAAATCGTCGTACCCATCACCAAGATTGAAAACCTGACGCAACAGGTCGTGACAGAGACAGAGACTGAGCAAGTCTGTTCCAACGACGCTCTGCGGACCCTGCATTCTGAGAAATTTGATGGTCCGCAGCCCCTAGTGCAATCGGAAGGCCAATACGTCAGAATGTCGAACAGTCGCTCCTGACCATTGTCTGGCGCTATCGTCGGCGGGGACGGAGAATTCATGACGTACCGCAAGGAATGCAGATACTGCAAAGGAATAGAAAGTGTTGCCGCTCCATTGATGTCGATCCAGCTCTCTCTGCCCTCTGACTGCGTGCTTCGTCCGAGCCAAACCCAAATGCAGGTCAGCATGTGCGCGAGTACGAGAAGCACAAAAGTGGTATTGATGATGGCAATTACGAGCATGAGCCACTGCCGCCCAGTGGATGCTGCAAGTTCCTGCACGACAGTCTGTAGTCGCGCAATCTTCAACAGCCGCAGGAGGCGGAAGGCTCGAATGACTCTGGCCAAACGGAATGCTGCTGCGGCGGAAATAGTATCTGCTGCGAAAGCATTTGCCAGGTCTAGCGTGACAAGGGACACGTCGAAAATTGCCCAAGTGCTCAGGTAGCTCAAGGCAATCGCGGCCCGGTCACGCACCAGCCTCCCTCGCACATATATGGCTGTGTTGAGGTTCGCGGCGATGTCACATGACCAGAAAATCAGCCCGCACCAGAACATAAGCGTCAGGCCAACGTTAGAGGAATGCGGAATGTCCCAAGCCAAAGCCACTGGCCTGCGGCAACTGAGACATATGTTGGATTTGGCCCCAAGAGTTCGTGCAGCACCCGTGTAGATCTTTCTCGAAGCCAGGGCAACATCCGCTCGAAGCTAAGCGCCAAATTGAGGTCTTGCAGGCGACTGTTAAGTCTTTCTCTTGCTTCCGTCTCATCCCTTTCATGTCCCGGCCCTGCGATTCTGCATTATTCTTCCGTCCGATGGCCTAGCCCGTTGTCAGATTTAGGTGCCTCGTCTCTAGAACACTCAACGACCCCTCAAAAACGGTAGTTGCCTGCCAGGTTTGCTAAGCGTTTCTGATGAACCCTGTGCTGAGCCCGAGGGGTTTGCTAAGCTACGATTGATACTGCGAAAAACATGGTATGCTGAACGAACTGGGACAAGTAGGTAGTAGCCCTTCACCAATCACTTAAGGTGATTACGTGGCTACGTCGCCGTTGAAGAGCAGATTCTCGAAGCGAAGTCTACATGCCCATGGCAACTTATCAGCTGCAGGGGCGAGATGAAGGCGTCGGTAAGAACGAGGAAGGAGCCCATCGCATCCCACACGAGGCGAAATCGGCCATCTGGATGCCACGGAGCCAGGCGTGAAACTGTTTCCTCACTCGAACTAAGATGTGCTGGATTGCTCTAGAACTGGAGATCCCTCTACATCCCGCCTGCCTGGCCTGCCTTCTTTGACACCCTTTGGTTAACCTTTGGCAAGGGTGTCACGGGCCAGGTGTCCTTGTTCGGCTGGAGCTGCTCGCTCTCGATAAAGGCCTGGGATGACTCCCGCATCCGCGTCTTTACAGAGTCGAGGCTGCCATCTCGATATGATCGCTCCATCCATCTGGAGTGAAGTCTCATCTCTCTGCTGAAAGGTGCCCCAAAGCAAACGGCATAGCGCCTGCACGGGACACAAAAAGGCTGACGTGCAAAGCCACTGCAAGCGATTGCAGGCAAGTGCTGCAGTGCACCTGGAGAAGTCGCCGAGTTCATCCTGATTCGTCTTTTTGCGGCCGAGCAGGGCTCTCGGCTCGGATACCTTGGACACCGACCGAACTCATGGCATCATGCCGACGATTCCGCATGCATCTTCACTTGTTTAACTTTCCCATGTATGTAGAGTGTTCCTACTTGTGGCTACTAACAGCTCCAATCTTCCCGCGTCTCGACGGCATCATGGTGCTTGCTGTCTGGACGGCATCTGTATCAAGATCATCTGGCTTTTTAGCTTGGGGGCAGGAACATCTTCCTCGATCTCCGTAGCTTGCTCTGTGCCGCCTTCTGGTGTGGAAAGGGTGCTTTGAAGACCATCCAGCTTGACCTGCCATCGACGGGACATCCGAAATCACAGCCAGCACGGGAACACTTACAGCCGTCCCGCTCGAAGCCTTCATCCGGTGATGGAACTCTGCCAGATCAGCACGCAGCGATTCAAAGCTTTCTGCGGTCAGGAGTTGCCTGGCCAGGCACATCAAAAAGGTCAAGGTGGGCCGGGTTCTCATTCCGATAAACGGAGCCTGCGCAAGTGTCTATCGACGGGATCACCCACACTCGGAGCCGTCGGAGCCATGGCTTTCTGAGACAAGTGAAGCTCTGGGCCGAGTCGTGACTTCATGACGAAAGGTTGGTCGGCAAACCGAAGCTATGTGGAGTTCTCCTCAATGCCGTCTATAGCTACGAAACACGCGGAGATGCATGTCCGCCACTGAGCCACGGCCAGCAGGTAAACGTGCAACATGGCCTTACCGACGAGCGATCCGGCGGCTCGGCTCTCGCATGCACTGTGCCAACAAGACGCCGCCTGCAGCTCTTCGAGGCCTGGTCCGCCTGGCCCTCCCAGCAGTCTTTGCAGAGACATCTCCGAGAAGTCCTGCTCGGCGTGCAAGCTCTATGCTTTGCTCTTTGCCGCACTTCTTTGGACTTGGTCGCCTGCATCCTTCCGGGGTCAGGACCCCTTTGCAGAAAGTCTGGCGGGAAGGAGCCAGGCGACCCAAGAACATCCTCACGAAGAAAACGCGCGGGACTGACTTGGACGTCCCGGCCCGGCCCATGATGTCTGTCCTTGAGTGCTTCGAGGTCGGCATCCTCACCCAGCAGCCGCTGAAGGGCCGGTGGCATGCCCGACGCACCAAGCAATTCCTGACGAGGTGCTCGTCCGTGGCTTGTTCTCGTATCTTTGCCCCTCTAGGAGTACTGCAGTGAGTAATGACTAGTGTAAACAAAGCTTCAGCATCATCTCCGCTGCAGAGATAGGCACAGCATGTGAAGGTTCAAAGTACATTAAGGCATTGGCACAGTAGATTAAGCCAGTTCGTTGTCACAGCTCTTCAGGGATGTGGCTTAGGCCCTCCAGCTTCTTCTTAAAATTTCAAAAGCTTGAAATCGGGGAAGTAAAGAGGAACGAGGAGACACACGACGCACGCCCATGTTTGCGTCAGCCCTGGTGTTGTTGTGGTTGCCCTTCTTAACACACGGCCGCCCGGCGGCTTCGGGAAATTCGAGGTGAAGCCGAAAGCCCGCAAACATACAGCTCGAGGAACTGAACCGCCCAACCCCGACAAAGGAGGACGATTAAGCACCAGAATACCTGACCTTCACCCATTCCGCACCCCCAGTGGCCCATGTGTCAGTCAGCTTTCCGCTTTGCCTGGTGCTGACCCTGTTTAGGGTCCGGAATGGTGCGGACAGAGCGGGAATGGAGGCGCTCACTCAAGACAAACGATGACAAACGTACCTGCACCTTTCCCCTGCCCCATGTTCCTAGGTCCGTGCACAAACGGGGGACATGCAGGGGGTGAGGCTGACTTCCGCGACCTCGCATTGCCCCAACGCCTTTACGTCATCGCATCGTAAGGGGCAGGACCTAACACTCATCTTTCCTAACCATTTTGTTCCGTGGATGTCGGGGACTGAGCGGCGGCGCAGGCGGGCGGCACGCTTGGCAAGGCATGGGGCGAGGAGGGAGGCGGGCGATGGCGGGCGATGGCGGGCGGCCCGGGCGGGTGGAGCGGCGGCCGTGCAGCCTTGCCGGGCGCAGGCGGTGTGGGTGTGCGCATGTGCGAACTGCTTCGGTGCGATACTGGATCCTGCAGACTCGCGTGAACTTGTACATCACACGCGGACAAGCCAGGTTTCACGTTTTCAAGTCATCGTTGGCGCGGAAATGTACGACAGACAGTAAGAGCTGAAGAGCTACAGGCAAAGCAGACCCAGCTAGTCACGAGAGCCTCCAGCCCATCCAGGCCGTCCAAGCCGAAACCCATGCCTGGTACCGCGTCGTTTTCCTTTTTCAATGGTGGCGACAATAAAGACCCATGCGGCCTTCTGGGAATCCGCCCATGGGTTGCAGTAGGTCCTGCCCGGCATCGAAAGTCTTGCTGCGATGAAGCCAAGACTTGAAAAGTAAGTATGTGACTCACGGTCCACCTCTGCTTCATCTTCCTCCTGCGCGGCAGACAGCACTCATGAGGACCTGTGACAGAAACTCGTTGGGCTGGTGCCGGCCTCGTTCAACTCCTCAATACGGTTCTGCAAGCGGCGCAGAAGCCGTGGCTTATCTTCTCTCAATGCCTGTGCCTCCTCTAGGGGAACTCCCAAAATATCTGCGAGCTTCTTCGGCTCTGGCAAAGCAGTTGGCCGCTTGACTTCGCTTTGCTCCTTGTGCTGCTCAAGATAGCCAGCAAAGCATGAGCATCAGCAATGCGTGCACCGCACCGTAGCAATGACCTGCTCCCCTACACTATCAATGCCGCCACTATCGAAATGTCTCGAAATAAATTTGCTGACAGCATGTGGCACTCCACTTCGTCCGCACCTCAGCAGCGACAGGTCCGTCATTGCCGGCGAGATCGGAACCAGCCACGACACGATACCTTCAAAACTGCGTCTGATGATAGCAATGCACATTCGGCTTGGCATTCGGGATGGCTGATAAATGCTCCCTCAAAAAGGCCCAGCTTGCATACTCAAAGATGAGTCTGGCGTGTTCCTTGCAAGACCGCAGTGTCGCAGTCTGCTTTTTCTGCATCCTTGTATGCTCAACTGCTTCGCTTGCAATGCTGTCACGTCGTACGTCGATGACCGTATTTAAACAGGGCTGGGCATGCAAAGCAGGTTCCAACTTCTTGGCGCTGGTCTTGGACGGCAGGCCCATCTCGCACAACCCCCGGTAACTGCGCATCTCGTCGAAAACACCACCACTACTACCAACCAAATTAAGATCTCACGACAAGGCCCTGAAAGCCCGGAACCATTATTTCTGTACACCTCTGTTTTGCTGGATGGTTGCATCTCAAGCACCTCGTCCAACACCTGAGATGCTAATCAAAGGCAGTTTCATAGGATCGACTGGGATGGTCGAGAGCAAGTAGGGGGCGGCTGACCGCGGCAAATAAATATCATCGGAGAAACCCGACAAGCCGATGCATTCCAGGATGCCTTTGCCTTGTCCACCCGCTTTTGCATGTGGGCCCGTATGTCTGGGACTGGCACCTCGCAGAAAGGATACTAGTTACCAGTGGCAGAACACCAGAGTCCTGCCAGGGGTTTTGGGGCCAACTCGGCAGGTCGCCACTCAGAGAAGCCGTGAAGAAGACTCAGCGGGTGCAAACGCTGCCAGCAGAATCTTGTTTTACATGTTCGTAAACGCTTAATTTCATTTCACACTGCAGTGTAACTACAGCTTCAAGGAGCAGCTCAGTGTGCCGCTAAAGGGATGACTAAAACAGTGAGTCCAAAGACACCTTGTAGTCGAAGCCAAGCATTACCCACAAAAACGCTCCAGACCAGGACTGCGAGGCTCCCAAGACCACCCCATTTGCACAAGGTGCCCCTCACGCAAACATGTTTGGGATGCAAATGTGCGCTCGGGAGCACGGTTCAGCAATGCGGTAAGCGAAATTGCGACATTCGTGAATTCTGCTGAAAGTCTGAGAACGGCGAAATTGCCAAACCACACTCAGGAGCCCACGGCCTGTTCGGCAACTTCCAGCCTTTGGATCCCCAACACGCGCACCGAACTGCGGCGTTCCATGAATCGTGCGCTGGACCATTGGAGGACGGGGGGCCAAGGTGGGATTGTGGAAAGAACGCGACTTCAGTCGAAAACCGGCACCACGCCACAGCGGGAGCTGTGGAACCACCGCAGGCGGCGAGTCTTGCCGCGTGCTGACCAGGCTGACCCTAACCACTCCGTCGTTACACCTGAAGAAACTGTAACAACACCATGGTGTGTGACCACACTGTTTGGAGAATAGTCAGCAAACTCCAATCTGACAAAAGGGGTGGTAGTGAGGAGCACTAAGGCTAAAAAAGCGTACAAGTAGTAGGAGGTTGAGTTCTCGCAGATTGCAGAAGTCCTAGGACCGCGATCTCTCAGGTGCCTTCGACACATCTGCTTTGGTGCCGTCGGGCAGTAAGAACTCCCCAGAAGGGTCGCCAATGCCAGTGACTTGCTTCATGAAGGACTCAAACGAGCTCTTCCTTGTCGCGAAGGTCGGCTTGTCTCAACTGCCAAGTATCTTGACTCACATGGCGGCTTGAACTGCGAAAAATGGGCTGAAGCTTTCAGGGCTCATGCTTTTGATGGTTTCCTTCGCCCACTCCTCACAGTCGTGGAGGTGCTTCCGCTCGAAGTGGATCATCATCAGCCGCTTATTGGAGCCAGTGTGTCCACAAATCTGACACTGAAGCTTCCCACCCACGGAGACGATATTCCTTAGTGCACCGAGGCGTGCTTGCTGCAGGACGAGCAAAGGACCAGTGGCCAGACCTGTCTTTCTGAAAGCATATGAGCGGCTCCTCCATGAATTGCTGCATCTTCTCGTGATCGTCCCTCCATGGAAGCACAGACTGCATCATGTCGTCCACGATGCCCCCATCTTCCATCATCTCACCCACCCACATGTTCAAAAACTGATCCATGTCGAAGTCCTCCAAATCCATGTCGCCAGACTTGTCATACTTGAGGCGTTTCTTGTCGTCGGACAAGACTGAGTACGCTTCCGCAATTCTCTGAAACTTGATCTTCGCATCTGGTGACGGGTTCTTGTCGGGATGGTACTTCAACGATTTTTGTCGATAAGCTTTCTTGAGCCTTAGTTCGATGATGGTCGTCATGCAAGCTGCACTCTGGCAGACAAGCTGGCTCTTATTGCCAGGTTGCTCGTCTGCTTTGGCCCCTTTCGAGACCTTGGCAGACAAGTGTACAGTTGTTCTTCAAGTCCTTACGGCGGAGAGTGTCCAGAAGCCTAGCAAGCCTTCCTGCAGATCCCAGCTGCCCCAAGGATTTTGTACAAGTCCTTCTCATTCACATCCACCTAGCACTGGTTGGCTTGCGAAATCGCAGCGTTCTGTTACTTGCTGAGGCCCTCTGCGGCCTCTTCAAGTTCAGCTTCCCCGGCCATGGCTTCCGGAACCCTGCCACGTGATGGTGCCGCTGATGTGTATAATGGCGTAGTGAGGCTGACTCGAGCCGCGTCGTAAAGTACTTCGTGTACCATGCAAGGACAAGACGGCAAGGGGTCAGCCAAAGAAGAGACCCGGTGGCGAACCTAAAGCTGCTGGGCATCTAGCTCGCTCGCCACGCGCATCTACAGTCCGTACATGCTTGTGTCACGAAGATGAAGCATTGTGCGAGTGCCTTGTCTTTGAGGCTTGATGGCTGCACGAAGACTACTTCCCAGCATGTCCACCACCGCTAGATCCAACAAGCCTGAGGCTCGTTTCGTGACAGCTGTGACGGAGGCAATGCGCACATCAGCAAGAAGCACGACCTTGGCAAAGCCAGATAGCGATGCAGCTTTGCGATTCCATTCCACGACCTTGGTCGGATAGCTGGCTGATGCCACACGGCCACTGGGTATAGGACTGTGCATGTGCCGTGTTGCACAATTGCTGCCTGCAACATGCAATGAGGTCAGCCCTTTTTCCCTGCGCAACTGGGGCAAGCTAGGCCGCCACTAGGCCAGCTGGCTACCTGCTCCAACATCCGAGCCATCTCACTTCTGAAGACTTTGCCAGGATGGCATCCAGTTCTGGATGCACAGGAGGAAGGCTCGACACCTGTCACACGACAGAGCATTGTGCATGACACTTGTTCGAAGTCGACGCAGCCAGTACTGCGAGATCCAGCCTGTGCAGAGGACCTTTGATGGCTTCTTGTGACGAGGCTGCTTAACAGCACGTGGGATGGATCAGCGCGGCGTTGTGGCGGCAAATGCAGCCCTGCCGGCACGCGGGAATTCGTGAGTCAGCTGTTGTCAGTGGCTGTGCCGTAAGAAGCGTGTTTTTCCCTTCGACTGTCACTACATAGTCTATTTGCCATCGGGGGAAGACGGCCCACACAAAGACAATTTACGGCAGAATCGTGGAACGCAGACAACGAGTTGAGTAAGTGGCAGACCCTAATGTGTGCTGGGGCCCACTACTTGGGGGGAAGGAGGTGGCGCTCAGGCCCTTTGTCAGACACGCCCCCAAACACAGCTTTTTCTGCTTAATTGCTTCTCTCTACGTGCAGAGAGATGCTGGATGTTGTACCGACTTCTGAAGCAGGCCCCGGTGCACAATTGTGCACAAACCCACTCAAATTCTGATTGCAAACTTCTTTGCCTGCTGGCAAGCGAGTGGGTAGGCCGGCTGCCTGGCATCCAGGACAGAAGAGTGCAACTGCTTCCTCTTGTATGCATCGTCACGTCCATAAGCACATGAATCAGACGGTTCAGAGGCTTGAGGCGCCAAGTAGCTCCGAAGCATCTGCAGCCACAACGGCCACGTCGTCCAAGGCTATGCCCTCGCCGCCTGAATCTCGAAGACCGGGACTGGCCATGCTCTGGCAATCCATTTTGGCAAGTCTGTGGCATTCCGTTTGACCAACCAGTAGGCAAGAAAGGAATGAGAGACAAAGGCAGCAAGGAGATGCAATCGAGCATTTCCACGACAGGGTGCCTCGAGTGAAATCGCCAAGGATTGCAATTCTCGAAACATTTGTCCTAAGTTCTCAGAGAGCAAGTGCTTTGAGATTGCACGGTGTGTCATGCTGTGTTGTGCCATGCGGAATCGAACCTTGCTCATGGATTGGTCCAGCGTCAATATGGCCGCGATCTGGCATGCTGTCGCATACTGGAAGTCTGCAGCAGAATTCAAGGGGTCGTAGGACCACCTGGAGGCAGCGGATCTCTCAAACCTTGTTGCACAGTTACTTCTTGTTGCTGGGCGGAGCTACAACACCTAACTGCCATATCGGGCCCATTAAGTCATGTGCGTGCACCAGCCTTCCATTTTCATTCAGCAGAAACTCCATGTAGACTTCGTTCCCGATCCAGCGCAGGGTATCGTCGACAAAACCTTCCAACAAAGCCGGAATCAGCAGCAAAGCTGTCTTGTTTCAATGCCCCTACGTGCTGCCGCGGATGCTACATGCCGCGACACGGTTCCTTTCAAAAACCTCTCTGTTTGCCAACCAAGCCGCGAATGATGCGAGCCCCGTGGCCTGTGTCGCAGGACCTGCAGACAGACATCATGCTCAGCACCCAGCTGGGTGGCATCTTGGCTTTTCTGGCACACTGCGTCACCGGAATGTGATTGGATGCTCTTTGGAGGTGGCAGGTGGATGACGCACCAGCTGCATTCGCTTGAACAGGATATAGTAAGCCCCAAGAAGTTGGAAACCGGTTTCAGGACAATTAGTGCTGAGATTCTCTATACTTTACTCTTAAGGATTGAGGCTATTGGGCTTTCAACTTTTGGTCTTCTACAGGAGTTTTGGGTTTGCTGGCTCACACATGAGCATCGCGCATGTCGGGTTCCTAAGCAAACTTAAACACACGCACAATCTTAACCTCTGAGGGCGCAAGCTCACACTCGATTGTCACCCAGTCCAACGGAGCGTTCCTTGGATATCACTCGGGATCCAGCCATCACTGGAGATGTAGCGACCCGTGGCTACCGACGCTATCGCAGCCTCATCGTCATCGCTGCCGCGATCGCTATCATGCTCGTCACCACAGTCACCACCAGCACTCAGCCCCAAAAACACCCTCAGCACTGCCAGTACAACTCTACCACCACCCATCACACTAACATCTACCACAAACCACCACCGCAAGTCCCCACACGACCACCAACCACCCGCACCAGCTCTGCCACGATTGCTTGAGCTTGTATGTGACTATATGAGTTTGGTTCGGGTTGTGCGTGGCCAGCGTCAACTCCAGGAAGTCGCCATACTGCGCACGCACCCGGAAGCGCAAAGTTCCTCCGTATGCCACTGCCATCTCCTGCCATGTGATACCAAGCAGGACATGTTGTCGGAGCGTGTGCGAGACACAGAACGACCAACCAGGCTGATAACACAAACGGATCGCGAGCGGATAGGCTGCATGCGAAAAGCACGTGCACCCCTGACTGGAATTGGCTCCTTTTTGTGATAAACCTTCGGGGACGCTTCGAAGTACCACTTGGCTAAATCAATGCCAGTGGCAAAGTCCAGGCTTTGGACTTCGTCGGCACCTTGGCTCTTACTCACAGGATGGGATGGTCCCCTCCTCCTTCCGTAAGTTGATGCTTTCTTAATTCTTGGCAATGCCGAGCTGCCATAAATGTACTGGTTCAGGCCACCCCACGAAACAGCCTGGTGCCTCACCCCAGCACTGGGCGTGTTGCCTGTGGCCAGCAGTGTTCACTTGCACTTCGACGCACACTTCATAGGAGGGAGAAACAGCAATTCGACAGCCAACCGAATTCTTCCCCAGCCTCCCACAACTTCCAGTTGACCGGATACTGTCCAGCCATCCGCTCCATCTGCCTGAGCAGGATTTGGATTTCAGAGCCACTACCGGTAGCTGGCATTTGTAAGGCCACAGCTAGGTTAAAGTCAGAGCCGGCAATTTGCCGATGAGGGTTAACCTGAGGCAGCAAGGCCACTGCATCAAGCATTCACGGCTTGTTCCGGGGCTGTGGCTAGTACAACGAGACCTGGTTCAGATTGGACATCGATAATGGTTTCGCCATCTGCCGATCAGGGATGCAGGCTGGCTGAGGCTAGCTGCTGTATGTAGATCTCATCGCACAGCAGCATCCCAATAGCAACTGTCCCTAGGACGTCTTCCAGAAACATGCCTTGACTAAGTCCAATAAGCGACCGCACGACGAATGTGAACCTCGGTCATATCGTGCCAGCAGCTGCGAAACTGCATGTTTTGGGCTGCCTTTGGAAGCAAGGGCTGCATTAGAGAAACTGGAGACCCAGAAATGCAAAGTTGTCCTTCGTGTTGGCAGAACACTCGGCCAGTGCAAGAAAGGCACGTCGTCCAAGCATTCGGAGTGGGCCATTTGTTTGGAGGAGGGACATAGACTACCTGAACGAGTATCCCGGATGGGCATATGTAGAATTCCGCAAGATTTCGATGCGAGCGGTCAAGCTCAGTGGCTTTGAGAGGCAAAGGCTCCGTGTTGCGCGGTTGCTTCATACAAGTAGCAAGGATTTCCGGAATTCTTTTCGTTGTTCCCCACCTGGTGCTTCGGATCTGTCACCAGAAAGGGTAGCAGATGCGGACCGATGGGGTCCGGGGCCTACAGTGGATGTCAGTGGCGAGCGAGAAAGCATGGAGACGAGTCATCGCCTGCAGGGGCTCGGAGCCGAAGCTGCGAAAGTTCGGGGAGGTTTCGTAAAGCCTCAGACTGCGGCGCTACGGAGACCATGGAACGCCTGACCATCAGTCTTTCAAGCGCAAGCTAAGATTGCCACAGGCCCTCTTCTGGAAGCGTCAGGATGTAGTAACTCGGTCAATGCCCGCACAACGAACCCAGGGCGTTGCCCGGAATGCCTTGCTCTGGGATGCAGCCGCGGGTCTCAAGATCAGTGGTTCCGCCTACGAAGCCCTCCAGTACGCAAACCTTAGCCGCAAGGTCATTGTAAGGACACTCTTGGCAGACTGCGGATTCACCGACATGTTCGTGACGAAGTGCTGTCGGCGTGTCCGCATCCACCGCACAGGCGGTGTGCCGGGCGATGGGATCTCTCACATAGGATTGCAGTTCGGAGAAGATTTCCCCAGTCCTCAGCCACCATGCACTGCGATCCAAACTGCACTAGTTGCTGTTCACGTGCCGTTTCTTCTTGTTCCCTGTGCTGAAAAATGCTCCTCTGTCTCACCCAAGAACGCTCGACCCTACCTGTAACATAGCGAGACACATGTGACCAAGTGTGCACCTTGCATGCCCTTGTCGGATGCAGCGCTCTATGGCGACAAGCATTGCAGGGTCCCTGAAATTCGCTCAAGGGCCTCCAATGCTTCATCCCTGAGAAGGACTGAGGAAGAAGAATTGGGATCGCGGAGCCTGCGGGATCTGGAAGTCTGCTTCTCCCCTTCCCGCTGTGGAGGCTGAGGCGCTCGATGGCCCAGATCGGCCAAGGAATCGCTCCGAGCAGGCCCCAGGCCCGCGTGGCCCACATGGCAAGGAGGGGGCTCTGTCTTCGATTTGTGGCGTGGACTCAGGGCTCTTGGTGGGTTGAGTTAGTGGGTTGGCATTGGGCTGCAGCTCGGGCTTGTGGTGTGCTTTCATGTGGGGTCTGCGTCTGGGCCAGGTGTGTTGGCAGCCCATGCTGCAAGCTGCAATCGACTTGGCACGAAGGTCTGTTTCACAGCTCGAGAAGTCCAGGCTTGGACAGAAAACTCAGGCCTGGGCATGCCCCTGAAGAGAGACCTCAGTGCCGGACTGAACGAAGAACAAACGTCGGGAGCGCGGTCTGGGCAGCGTTCCAGTCTGGCTCAGTCAAGGTGCTCCAAAGATTGGCGCATTGGCAGTCTCCACAAACCGAGCCAAATCCTCTGCCAGGCTGGAGCCACGGAAACACTAAGCTTCGAAAGGTCCCTGTGGCGAAGCATCCGGCTGCGGCTGGACATGCCACCGTCCTCCGCGATGCCTAGTTGCTCAGCCATGACCTCGACATCCCATCTTCAAGATGCTCGTCGAACTCTACATGTATGAAGTAGGAACAATACGCTTTTTCGTTGCAGCCTTGACTGTGGCGCTAAAGATGAAAGCTGTGTCTCTGCAGGGTCCCGCGCTCGATTCAATTCTGTCACATCCTGGCCTACGCAAAGAACGCCGGTGACCTGCACAGGCCAAGAAACCAAACAAGAGCATCCCGTGCCCCCCCCTCCCAGCTGCTCTTGGAACTCCATGCGTAACTCCTATACTTCGGAAGGCGGCTAGGACAGACCCAGACCACGACGAGGCACAGGTCCGGCGCCCGGCCTCCCCCTGCTCGCCAAGCCGGGCGGATGCGTTCAGGCGCACCGTGCGTCTGGAACCTTCCTGCGGGCCGATGTATAGCCGACTTTGCATATCCTTCGAAGCTTCGATAGATGAAGGCTGCTAACCTGCTAATTCCACGGGCTGGTTCCTTCTTGGGACAAGTGTGCGACATCATCTCGAACCCAAATTCTTGCAAACTCTTTCTCAGGTCTCGCTCTGCGCACTTATGCCCATGCTGAGTGCAGCTACAGTCAAGGGCTCTCCCATGGTCCCGGCAGCATCTAAGCACAAGTATAACATGCAGAATATTTCAATGCGGACCCTCGCAGCACCGAAATTTGCACAAGCCTCGCGAGGCACAACGCCAGACACTGGAGACTGGCCAACACGCTTCGCGTTGAACACCTGGCCGTCCTGGCCTGCTCTTCGATGCAAAACTTGAAGTTTTCCACCTCCACGGCATCTCATTCAATCATCCGAGGGCAAGAGCACATTGAGGCTTGGAGCATCTCATATCAGTCAAGCTGCTGTGCATTTGTCTTATAGAGTATTGCTTTCAAAAATGGATGTCCCATCAAGAGCCACTCCACGCCAATGCATTTCACAATAACGTTGCGTTGACAAGTCGTCTGGGAAAGTCTGCTCTCGTTTCCAGAACCTGTGCCTCGGTAGATCCTCACATTGTTGGCGGCCTTCTTGTCGGAAACCAACAATGGGGGGACAACTTAAAATGCCCAAGCTGTAAGGGCCTCTAAGTTCGTGGCTCTACGCCAAGGATAGTGAATGCTGCCCACTGGTGGGGCGCACAACCTTGAGACAGCATTTGACACATTGCAGCCCGTACAGCTGTGGTCAGCTGCTTTCCATTGACAAGCCATGCCTCATAGAACAAGTGCATAAAGGTTCTGGTGGAGCTGTCACTGACATTCCACAAAGAAACCAAGAGAGCGGGTACTCCAGCAGCCAGAAAACTTCTAGACAGGCCGATGACACCATCTGCGCTGAAATTGCCACGAGCTGTGCTGCAAGCAGATAAGACTGCAACGTGGGCATTCAAACGCAAGGTGCCGATGTCTTCAATCTGCAGGTTCCTGTCGTGAAGCGCCAAGGCTCCGCCCCTGTCCAGAAGCCCATGGGTCGCGAAATGCACAAATCGCCACGGACGCGCCAAGAACTTCAACACGTCGTGATGACTGACCTGTTCATCCATCAGCACATCGCATTTCACATCTGCCGTGACACACTGATTGCGTACACTACCAACTTCAGAGACGACTTCGGATAAAGGTGGCAGAGTCGGATTATCTGAGTTGCTTTGGAATGTTGACACGCCCATCACCAATGCTTCACTCTTCTCTGTCATTTCAGTGCCACCCTGCTTCAAAGCGCCGCTGATCGAAATTGATGGCACCAAACTCAACTCATGGCGCTGTATCAAGTACTCCCCTGCCTCTGAATCCCAGAGAGCAGCAAAGGGCAGCAAATAGAGATCCTGATCCGGCACAATGACAATGCTCTCTCCAGGCTTGATCCACTTTGTCAACGGGGCCCAAAGGCTAGCATAGCACGATGCGAGATGCTGCTTGGCGTGCTTCAGGGAAAGCCGCCTGCGGGTTACACTTGTTCGTTCCGATTCGGAGCTTTCAGTGAAATCCATGGGCGGGTCTCCACGTACTGGCAGTGAGATGTCTCCACGAAAAGCTTCAACATAGCCAGCCAGATTCCTGGCACCCTCAGGGAGTACCAGCTGCAGAGTCTCACACCCACGAAGTACACCATCAGCTCCGAAAACCCAAGCCGCTACCGAGCTGTGGGCCAGAATGGAGTAGTAAACCAGTACGGAACCATCAATATCCATCCGCAAGTGCCGGGATGACTCATCGAACGTGTTTGGTGGCTCACAGCTCTGCAACATCAGCGCCAGTAAGGAGCGCGCACGTGACTGTTCTGCCACTTCGAAGGCATGCAGTTTCTCGCCATTGGCCAGGTGAGCACGCTGCAAGCCTTGCACGCCGTTCCCATGAAAGGTCTAGCAACAGCCCACCTATTTTGGTGTGTGAAGACATTGAAGTGTGAATTTGCGATTGTCTGACAATCCAATTAGCACAACCTAATCATGCAGGCTACCATAAGGAGTTCTTTTTCAAACCGGTGCAAGCGCAAAGTCCGACACCGAAAAACATCTTAAAGTTGTTTCCGACCGCATCAATCGGCAAGGGCTGCTGCACAAGTTAAGTCGTCGTTGGACCATGACAACATGGAAGCCACCCCTGGACTCCGAGCCTCTCGTGAGATTCACCTCAAAGAAAACATCACGCAGTGAGATGCGAAAAGCATCCTCGCGCAAGCTTCGCCACCTCGACTCCAGAGATGCGCATCCCTCCTTGAAGTGGTGAATGGCGCCCGGCACATCACTCGTTTCCTCGGCGTATTGCCCGAGTAGCCCAAAGGCAAACTCAAGCGTGTGTGCATCCTGTAGAGCTCGAGCCAGGGCCAATCCCGTCAACAGCAGGGCTTTTGCTCGCGATGTGTCAACAACTGGCCATCTGCCTGGAAAACTCACTGCAAGTCCACTCAAGTCAGCGCCATAGTTCAGCAACACGTTAATCGTGCTCTTTATTCGACGCCGACGTACTGGGTCCATGCTGGGACCGACCTCAGCAGCCAACTTGTCAAACTCTGAACCAACTCCTTGCGCTTCCAAGCTCTGCTTGTAGGACAACTCACCTCGTTCCACGTCACCAGCTGCCCCGTACAAGTGGCCAAGCATGCTGCATGTGGCTGCGTGAGGAGTATCCATGACACGGTTTGCTGACTCTAGAAGCTCGATAGCTCCCTGCAGCTCGCCGTGTTGGGCCTTAAAGTATCCTAACTCCGACATCACCCGGCGCACGTATGGAAGGTCTCCAGCATGCTTCGCACATTCAAGAGTTCGCGTCAGGGTCTGAGATGCTTCAGCATCAAAACCTGGGTGGTAGTTTTGGGGCCCTTAAAGCGAAGTATTTATGAATTGGTACCTCTGTAGAAATCATGAAGGGAAATCAAAAAGCTTGCCAAAGTGCCACCTGGAAACCCGCGTGCGCATGAGCCATGGCCAGGTTGTACAAGGCCCTCACCCTCAGCTCGCCAGGTGCAATGCCACAATCAACGTCGCGCAGCACTTGCTCGCTAAGCTTGGCAGCCTTGTCTGGTTGCTTTCCTGTGAGTTCTTCGGCCTTCCGTAGCATCTCTTCATAATGTGCAGCGGCGTCTCTCTCTGCCATGAACAGCGATGATAATTGCTTGAAGCCACCCTCAGAACAGCTGGGTCCCTTGAGCCGAAGAGAAGATTCTGGAATTCCGTCCCTGACTATTAAGCGAGCCAGCGGCAGCTGAAATCAACTACTTTTGCACCTGCAAGCGACTCCTCCAGCTCTGCAGACTGCATCATTGGCCCTACAGCCTTGCCATGCTTTACCTCTCGCATCCTTAAGGCGCCTTCTCACCATTGAGCGCCCGATGTAGCATGTCAGCAACATCCTTCGCACTACCAGGCTGAATCTAGGATGTAGGACTAGGGTTTCGCAATTGTTGCTACCCCGAGTCTTTTGCATGCAGCAGTTACGGGCAATGGTTGGAACTCGTCGTTTGAGCACAGTTTCCAGAAATTCAGAAAGTCATTGTTACTGCCGGTTCAGTGCGAACATGGATTGCAGTTCGACGGTTATTGACAGTAAGAGGACGGGTATGTCTTCTTCGGTTTCAGCTTCCAAGGCCGGCGATGTCCGTTTGGGATCAAACGTACGAAAGCACAGGCTGGAAGCCAGGACATGTGACATGGCATGAGACCTTAAAGCTGACTCAAGGCGAGCCGGAAACGCAATCAGCCCCTCCCCAAGAAACCCCGAAGATGGAATGAAGTGGAAAGACACACACACACACAGAGACACCCACCATGTCGCAGTGAGCACACCATGCTGGAAACTGAAGAAGACAATCGTCATGTTTCTGGTGTGCCCCGCGACATCGACTACAGTAGGGGTATGCCTACCGGGATCTAGGCAGGCAGCGGGACAGCGTCACGACAGTAATCCCCTAAGATTCGGGCTAGCGGCCAGTGCCAAACAAACACCGTCCCTAAGCCTCCCGTCTGGCCACAAGTTGTCGCGATAAAAGAAAGTTAGAGAGGGGCCAGGCTCAAAGCGAATTACAAGC